ATGATATCTAATTCAACTTGAATTGGTGGCGTCAAAAAGATCGCAGTCAGACAATAGCGTATTCAAATGCCAAACATAAACGATTCAAAAAAATATTCGATGTAAGTGAACTTGATTGCATACGAAGTGAAGGAACGTGGGCATTTTTTTCATTCCATTCATATTCGATAGACAACGCATGAACTAATTTCGATGAGCTGACATTGCAAATCTCCAGACCAAATACATATTCAATAAATAATAATAATGAATTTAATTCGAGTAAAAATTATTATATGTCATACACACACACACGCCTTCAATACAAACATTGTACTAGTTTTGTCAATTGCTCGACTTTCTTGGAAACTTCAGCATATTTACGTGAATAAAACATGTCGTTTTTTGTTGTCTGAGACAAAACATTTCTTGTTTCTCGTTCGTTGTTGGTTAGTGTGTTTTTTTTTTGTTTAGAGTTGAACAACATAATTTGTTCGTATTTAATTAAAATGTAAGATGAACGAATCTCGAGAGGGAAAGAGAGAGAGAGAGAATGAAGTGTGCAAAAATGCGAAAGTCATATAAATGAATGCATTGGGAGACGTGATAAAATGAAGGCGACACTGCAGTCGACAGCGAATCAACTTCAATAAAATGATCAAACAAATGTGCGCATTTACTTCAGTCAGTCGTAAATGTGAACAATTTTCAAGCGCAGTCACATACAAAATGAATGGCATAGGAAAGAATATGTCGCCATCAGCTCTTTTCCATCATGTCTGTACATGTTGTGATCCATGTTGTTATAATACATATATCTCTATTTATATAAAGGAGTAAATGCTCAAGTAGTTATCACTTCGGCCCAAAACATACATTATTATCTTAAATAAATCAGTGCTCAAGTCAGCATCAAAGATGCCACAAATGGAATCATATAATTTCAATCTATTACGCTTCAACATACCATGCAAATGCTAAATTATACGAATTAAAATGAGCATAAGAATGCGCACTGAAAATTTGACGAAAAAAAAAACACACAAACACACACATGCCGTCATTAAGCATCGCATATGGAATAAACCAGTGGAAAAATTTCATGGTGCTACAACAGAAAAATGTTATTTCGTTTCATTCATGTCTCTATTGCTGCTGCAGTGACGATAATTTCAGTAGTAAAAATGCGGGATCGTTTAGTATTGCACTACATTGGTCGCATCAAAGAGTAAATAATTGGCTTAGATATGACATCTATAAAAATTTAAATTTAAACTAAAAAGCAAAACACAAATCTCCCACTGATTACCCAAATGGACTTTAAACCGCTTACCACATAAAACTATAGCGCGTGTTTGTTTGTCTTCATATTTTGTGGATGATCTTTGTCATTGATGAATATTTGGTGCGGCATACAGACTATTGACGTTCTTTCTCAATGAAAATCCAAATATTCCTTATCGAATTGGCCGTGGAACGGGAAAAATAAAAAATAATGATAACCTTTTTTTTAGATATGTATGGAATGCATTTATCGAAAGATAATTCATGTGCTTAACTTTGTCAAACCGAAATAATGCAATCCATAATTCCATATTTACCTTTACTCTAAATATCAAAACAAGACTTTGCTACAAATAAACAATACATACCATATACTGATAGTAGCTTCTACCATTGTTCTGATGAAATCATGTTTTTGTAGTCGTTCGGGGGGGGGAATTTATCACTTTTTTTTTGTACAGAGATAATGCAGCTCTTATCGTACAATGTATTGCACTCTAAACAAAAATAGTAATTCCAGCATACTACATATGTATATTACTACGTTTTCACATATCATTGGCACATAAAAATATGTAAATTTATCGTTGAAAGAACAAAAACAGCAGGCCTGTAAATTTTGTTTGCATTTCTTCTTCTTCCACATTCCTCGTACACTATCTTTGATCTCTTTCTTACTTTATGGCCATAGCCTGGCCATACACATTACCATTACATTTGACTCAATAGAAACACTGTGTACAACATTCATGCAAACTAAAAACAGAACATAAGCCACATTTCGGTGTCGCTAAACAGGGGAGAAGTCATATAGATTTTTTTTGTAGAGCATATGTCGGCCAGTGCACATTGAACTCTGGTGTAGTGCGGATCGTGTGTAGAGTTTGTTCATTATATCTTCTATTGACTCAGCCTTTGACCGTAAAACTAACGATTGTGCATTCTAGATTTTACATATAAATTAGGTGCGATGGATTTTAATATAGACCAAATGAACTGAAAAAAAACTGTTCAAAGTGAAATAGTGAAAAATAGAGAAAAAAATATGGAAAATCTGAGTGATGTTTGAAGTAAAATAAAATTGATTGGCCAATCGAAACAAATACAAACAATCATTTCATTGGAATATGAATCTACGGATGTGACATTATTTAACGAGATTGTATTCATTCTATCAAAGTTTTTTAAAAAAACAACGAATTATCTACCGCACATACGAACACAATAAAAATGTTCTCAAATTGCTCAATTCGCTGATAAAGTTAAATCGTGTGAACCCAGAGAAAATCGCATCACATACGTTAATGGACATTAATAAGCAATGCCATTTAACAAGTGGAACAATTTCACTTTATACTTAATCGTCAAATCAAAATCAATTTAGATGTTAAAAACATTGTTTACCCCATTCGCAACAACATCAACGCAAAAGCAATCGGTGGCAACAATGATGGTCACATCGCATGACATCAATTTTGTTATGGGTTTCATCAAAGAGGAGGAAATGTTCTCAGCATCGAATGCAACGATTTCAACTAGAACACCTACAGCAATGTCCAATGTAAGCAAACCGACTCAGATCTTCATTTCTGTTCATGTTTATCGTGTCACTGTTAACTTGTTAAAGGATTATCATTTGTTTGTGTATAAAAAAAATGAACGTTGTCACATCTAAATGATCCAATAAATAATGTTAGTTTTGACTTGAACCGATCAACATTTCCAAATCGGGAAATTGTTTAAAACATTTCTTTTCGATAAATTACAACAAAAATTCAACAGCATCTGCCCACACACATCAGAAAAAAACAATAAAATTGAAATATTTTTTTTTTGTTCAAAAATGTATTGCAAATTGACAGTTGCTATACATCTCAATGAACGAAAATAACGGGCTCCTAGTTTGACTTGATGTTGCTAATGAGTGTCTCACAGTGTTGTACTCATTCAAGTGGTATTTCAGTCTTGTTAATGATTCTCTGAATAACGGCATACAAAAAAAAAAAAAAAACAATTTATAAAACCGTCAGCATGTATGAACTTGTTCAATAAATTGACCCCCATGATTTCTGTTCAACCGAAGTTAATAAAAGCAAGCCAAGTGAATGACAAATAAAAATGTCGATTTAATTATCGATTCAATGCATGGTTATCGACACATTCGCCATGTATTCGAATTGATGTTTATGAATGTTTGCCTCTTTCAATCTGGTTTGTTGTGTTGTCCAGTCAATCACCTACGCAAAATTTACCATAGGTGGCCACCATTTTCACTACTTTCAATTCTAATACGCCTTCAGAATAAATACTATCATAAACGAATCAAACTGGACATTTATGTTCTCTCGTTTGCTCGTCGTCACTTTTTTTTGTTGCATTTTAAATTTTACTAGTTAAATTTCATTATCCAAAGTTATGCGTTACCAGTTTCCGTGTGCGTTTTGTTTTTAAAATGGATAAATTATTATCAGCTGTGGGAATGGACAAAATGATGTGAACGTTTCATTTGTAATGTTATGGGTGTTCATTCAGGCATGAAAAAAAACACATTTCATTAGAGTTGATCTTAGAGCACCTGCTGTGACCATAAGAATTATTACAGTAGTCGATTTTAGTATGCATCGTTGACATGAGGAGAAAAAAAAGACAGTGTAGACAATCACATTACCGGTACACGAGAACTGTACAGTTGTATACTTGCCATTTAATCAATTCATGCTGCAAACCGTAACGTTCAACAATTCCAAGTACAAAACGCATGTCGATTGAATTGAACGAAATTCACGCACATTCAATGACGACGCCAGTGCCGTCAGTAGCTGTGTACCGTGAATACATTTTGTGGCCCTAAGCAAACAATGATTGCTGTTGTTTCTTTTTTTCGTTCGTGCTTTTTGATTATGCAAAAAATTTCTATTTAATTTGATTACGTGCAGTGAATAAATTACAAGAGATGTAATACACAAAGCAAAATTCATTCAACAATCGGTTTTTTTACACTTTCTACATTGAATGAATGTAGTGGAGAATAACATTTTTTTTCTTTCGATTTTAAAATCGATACCGAAACGCACGAGAAATATACCACACGTACACCGACTTATATAGAAACTATGAGTTTAGTATGTAATTGTAACTGTCATGTTTTTCGCATGACCAAACTACGACGGCAACGACAAAAGGTTATTTCAATAGAACTTTATCTAATAAGCAAAATACATTTTTTCTACGTTACTAGTGAAATTGCACAAAAATATGTGTCGAGGCTAAAACTAAATGTGTGATGAACATTAGATGACTTTGAACTTTTTTAATGTCGCATGTCTGTAATTAAAATTTATATTTACTTTTCTGGATTCGTTTTGTCAAGTTCATTTTTTGAATAAGGATAAACGATCGGTGAATTGATTCAATTGACTTATGCCCAACAAAAACGAGTAACTTGGTTTCGTGCAAATCGAAATCATTTGACAAATTTGCAATCATAAATGATTTGTGTAAATCGTTACGAAGAGTGTTCTTAATGACATGGTCATAATTTAGTTTGATAAAATATGTAAAAAAAATACTTAATTAGTCGCCATTTATTTGAATATGAGTTTTTTTATGATGTATTTGAAAATCTAAAAAAATTATATTTAAAAAAAAACGATGCCAAATTTAATTTGTATAAAAAATATGTGAGAAAAAAAGTCGTTAATATTTTCTCGTCTTCTTTTCTTTATTTATTCTTGCAGACTCGCACATTGCCAAATTCATCATCGCCGTTTCGACGTTGGGGCCAGTCATCGTTTCGGTCACGTTCAAACGATCTAACACCAAATAATCTAACAAATCACCGGCCATCTTCACTAGTAGCCTCAGAGAATGATGTTTATTCAAAGGTAAGAAACCGCATAAAACTGACATTTTTTTTTTATCGCAGATCATGTAAATAAACTTTTAAACATTTATTACAGTCGGCAAATAATGATGATGGTACATGTTCGTTTAAGAGCAAAGGAAGCGACTCTCCTTCGGCGAGTTCAACCACGGTAACGGTTGGCAACGATTCAACCAGCCATGGTGTTCAAGTGTGGGGAAATTCATTTGAAAAATTACTGGAAGATGCGGCCGGTCTTCATACATTTGCCGAATTTCTGAAAAAAGAATTTTCAGCTGAAAATATTTACTTTTGGACCGCGTGCGAAAGATATCGAAAAATTGCCGACCATGCGCTCAGAACAAAAGAAGCGATTGCTATTTTTTCAAAGCATTTAGCAACAGGCGCATCGGAACCGGTTAATGTTGATTCGAAGGCAAGAACTTTGGCACAAGAACGACTTAACTATGCCGAACAAGATCTATTCGTACAGGTAATTTTACATAGAACAATTTAAAATAGAGATGTTATCATGCCATAAATTCATGTTTTACTAACCGATTCAATTGATGTTGTCAATTCGATGTAGGCACAAAAACAAATCTTCAATTTAATGAAATTCGACAGTTACCAACGATTCATAAGATCTGATTTATACAAAACATGTTTGGCAGCTGAACAACAGAAACAACCATTACCATATCCTGGTCATCAACTAGACCCAAGTTTGCGAACCTCAATGGAAATGTGCGAAAAATCTGCAGCTATGGCCACATCATCAAAACTAAAGAAATCTCTTTCAAACGCCGAAGACCGCCGAAGAAAATCATTGCTTCCATGGCACCGAAAGACACGATGCAAATCAAAGGATCGCAATGAAGAATTTCTACGCAATGAATCAAATAAAAATACAACACCGGCCAATCAACATTTGAACAAAAATGTACATCAATCACAAAATGATATACACAGTTCACGTAGCTCTTTATCTTCATTTGATGCTGTGATTTCGTCAAGAGCAAATGGCTCAATTTCACCGGTGGGTTCCGGCGATGATTCACCGCCACGTAGTTCTTTGTGCCGTGTGATACTGTCAGATGGTGCTACAACAATTGTACAAACCAGACATCATGAGAGTATTCGTACTTTAATCGATCGATTGCTGGAGAAAAGGGGAATTTTCTATGAGGCATATGAAGGATTCATAGCCGGCACAAATAAACCGATTGATCTTAATGTGGCAAGCACATCAGTGGCCGGCAAAGAAATATTAATTGAGCAACGTGTCGTTTTTAAATTGGATTTGCCAAATAAAAAAATCATTTCGGTGAAAAGTAAACCATGCAAAATGATGAGCGAAGTTCTCAAACCAATTTTGCAAAAATACAATTATCATCTGGATATGGTCACGGTAAGTGAATTTCATTTAAATTATAGCACTGTTATTTAGACAAAATAATAACTAGGAATTTTTCTTTTTAATCGCACAGGTGTACACCAAAACCAATTCAGAGCCATTACCAATGAATGCTCCAGTTACGTGTGCCGACGGTCTTCGTTTGCAAGTCGTATTTAATGACGACGGTGAGTGAAAATAATTTTCGAAACAAAACAAATCATTATCGCGTCCATTCATTGTATATGTATATAAAATCATCATTAGATGAAAGGCAGACGAACACTTCAGGTTTATATTTGTACATATCTTAACATAAAATAGGTGTTATTTCCAACAAAAGAACCATCTATGTATTTAGCTTTGTTCAAATCGTTAATTAAAAAAAAATATATTGAAAACGCAATAAATATTTGGAAAACTAAACTGTTTGGGGCTTTTTTTTAACACAAAATTAACTTTTCATTCCGTGGCGGGTCTCTTTATACCTTGTGGCTATGTTCTGATTGCTCACAGTTCTTCATTGCATTAACTCTATTTTAGTTACATTTTTTTTCTCACACAAAATACATATTATTTAGATTTTGTTTTTGTTTTGAGAAGTCTGACTTGTGGTGTAAGTCAATAGTTATACATATAGTTAGTTATCACTTGTGATTCACCTTGAATCATGTCTATTTTGAATGGTTGGTGTCACCGGTGCCAACGTCAAAATTATAAATGTACACTTTGCCTATATCAATCATCATGTTGCACTGATCCAAATCATTTTCCGCTTACAGTTCAGCAGGAAACTACGCTTAACGAGATTACCAATAAAGTATTCAATGAGTTAATGCAGAAAAAGACTGATTTACAGTCAAAAAACATGGACATTAGTCAAGGTTCCTCTTTACAAATAAATCAACAACAACAGCAACAACAGCATATACCAAATCAGTCGGATGACTGGTGTTCAGAGAGCAGCTCAGGAAATTTTGGACAATTAAGGCAACCAATTGGTAAGGGTCGTTCTCTCGTCCCCATAAATAAACAGAGAAAATTCTCTGTAACACCATCATCATCGAATGTTTCAATATTAACATCAGCCAGCTCAAAAGATAACACAAGCACATCATCAAAAACAATAACCGATGGAAGCAATTCGTTGACCATCAATATTGTGTCAAATGATGAAGCCAATAAAAAGCCGCTTATTGCTAAATGGAAAACTGGTGTTCGAGTACAGAACGCATCCTCACCCACCACAACGCCGGAGAGTAAAGGTAAGTTTTAAAAATTCAAATGAAAGTAAAGTAAATAAAATTGTAAAATTAAAAAAAAAACTTAGATCTGCTCGAAGGATTGAAACGTGCTCAGCGCTTTCGATTAGAAGATCAGCGCGGTACGGAGATAAATTTTGAATTGCCGGATTTTTTAAAGGATAACAAATGGAAAAATAGAAAATCATCATCAACTGATGCATCAAATTCAAGAGATATTAGTGACAGTGAAACGAATAAAAAACCAGCCGGAAAAGCACCACAACCAGCACCCAGACTCTCAATAAATCGAAACAATTCACACGACAACAGTGTATACTCCGATGGAGATAAACATCAAGACCCATATAGTTCACATAGTCAAGGTATATATGCACTTTTCTCAGGAAAATTCATTCATTCAACAGCTAATAAAATGGTAATTTTCATTTAAATAGGATCTGAACAAAGTGATAGTTCACCACAAAAGTATACGAATGGAACGGTGCCACCACCATTGCCACCAAAGCCAAAAATCAAGCCATCGTCTTGGGCTGGTAATAGCAATTGGCAATTAAATGATGCAATAAAACACGATGGAAATACAAGCGATTCACAACAGAATCTCTTAGCTCACAGCATACGAAATGTAAAGGCGCCAATAGCCGATCGAATCAATATGCTGAGTGCAACAATGGCCGATAAAAAGATGACACAACCCCGTACTATTTATTTCGATCGAATGAACAGTAGTTTTGTGTGAATTAAAAATTCCATTTCATAGTTAAAAATTTTGCAATGAATTTATGCTGTCATAAGATTTTGTGATCAGAAAGTTTATAATTTTATCAAAAGAAATTATCATCGTCGATTGGATCGATGCTTTTTTATGAGTTATTTTTTGAAAATAAATTCACTGTCTTCGCCATTCTTTTTTTAAAAACGAACCGAATATATTTTTACACTCGATTTTTATTCTAATTTATTAAAATTGTAAATCAAAAATAAAACTTAAATTATAAAATTTTAACTCCGTCTTACTTTTCTCGCAACACAAACACACTGCGATTGTTTTTTCTCTGTCAATATATAGATACTTTTATTTGTTTAAAATATTTTTTATACAACGAATTAACCTATGCAATTGCAACAGGAGGTGGTTTCGTTTGGCTACTTTGATCTTCTATTTGAACCGCTTCGATGGCTTGTTCTTGATCGTCATTATTATTAATCGTTTCTTTGAGCATTTCATCCTCTTCTTCTCGTTCGATATAGCGGTAAGTGGATGGTGATGGTTCTTTTGGTTCGGCCCAAGGTGGTACGATTTTATCGTGCATTCGCCATTCGCCGTATAAATTCGATATGTTCTTTTCAAATACAACATACTCAAGCACATCCTTTGCAAGAATCTCGCTGCCATGCATTAACCGACCGAATCGATCATAAATTGCTAACGATTGTTGTGTGTGCATGCGAACGGTGATTTGAGCGAAAATGTTCTCCTTTGAAATGAGATTCGTTTGACGTGCGTGCACAACTCGTGGCGGTTCAATCGATCCCAAGAATTTCCATCGAATTGTAACGTTTTTTGTGTTAAATTTAATTTCAGGATACAATCGTTCTGTGATACTTTCACGTAGTGCACTTTCATCTTTACTGATAAGCGCCTCATGGGCACGAACATAGATATCCTGAGCAGTTTGTGCAAAATCTTTGGGCGAAAAATCCTCTTCGAAACCGCGAATCTTACGAACGGCCATCATTGATTTGGATTTTTTTTCCAAAAAATCGTAAGTTTGTTTAGCACCACCCGCTGTGAATTTCGATAGTTTACCGTCACCTTCTGGCGGAATATATGGTTCGAATATACCACTTGTCTGTTGAATGCAAGAAACAAATGAAGTCGTAATCAAATTTGATAAAAAATTGTGTTATCAGAACTATTGCACCGGCTCTAGTGGGTTCTCGCACTTTTTTCAAGTATTGCAGCCAAATACAAAAAAGAGCCGCACTTTGAAGAAAAGTGCTTGAACCTCTGCGATGCCCAAAAAGCTGTTGTTATTTACACAGAAAAGCTTAACTTACACAGGCTAAAACAATTGGTCGCTCTTGCCAAGGCCTGGCTGGCTTTGCTCCTCTTTCTTTCATTCGTCGATTTCTTTCTTCTTTGCTGATTTCATTTTCTTTCTCATGGAAATTTGGTAAATCTACTTTGATGAATTTCTTTGCTCGCAACCACTTAAATTTTGGATTCCAATGCTTTGAATGATTACGGCTTGGTTGCTGATTATATGGTATATTGAGACATTGAGACAGGACACCACTCTGAGCCTTTAATTTTTAAAAAATAACCATTGAACAACTATTATCAGAATTGGAAAACATTCACGGAAATTTGCACTAAAATTTAAAAAAAACATAACCTAAAAGCCAACACAATACGTTCATATTTGTAAAAATGTTAAAGAAATCAATCATAGTATATATCATATGAGATCTTTTTAAATAGAAAATTGTAAATTTTATTTACGAACCCTGAGTCCTGTTGAAAATTTAGTGAATAATGTAATTGCAGCCATCTCTTATTATTGTGATATCTTTGGACTGATTCAGGCAGATGATTTCAATTGACATTTGAATCAAGTGATAGTTTTGACGTTATGCACAGAACCGGAACACATTTTTGATACATATAAGTAATGATATCTCATTTAATTTGAAATTTTCATCAAAATTCGCTCAATTTTTTCTCAATTTGTCTTTGCGAATGAAATAATTGTAATTTCGAATTGTATTGAAACAATTTTAATTGCGGAATTTTTAGTATTGTCATATTGGAATGAATGAATCGGTTCATGAAAAAACATCGGAAACGTCAAACCGCATTCCGTTTGCGCAAACACACTTTATCGGTTCATTTTGTCATCCACAATGGAGGCTGGTTCATTCTCGTTATCATTTGCATATTCATTGCAAGCATAGCACGACGTGTGTGTGTAAAATCCAAGTTAAAAAGTCCAGACGACATTGTCTTTCACATATTTTTGTGGAGCCGAACCAATTTTTGATTATTTTTCTGTAAGTTAATCCATTAAAATTAAATAAAAAATAGAAATTTTGTTTTTTCCAAAATTGCCGTTCAATTTAAGTGAAGTTTCTTAAATGAAATTCGTATATTCGTTGTCTCTTTTTGTTGTTACAATGTATTTTCCATTTCATTAAATTTTCTCTATTAAAATGTTTTGTTCAATAATCCAATAATTCGGTTGCTTAAAACTCCGAAATTAAATTGATATGAAAATTCCTCGTCTTTTATGGTAAGAATTTGCCATTAAAAAAAAAAAATCTCATCAAATGATGAAATAGAGGATATACCAATGAATAGACGTCCATCTTTCTTTTTATTTTTGTTAGGCTTCCATAATTCATTTTTTGTGTGTGCCTAGCATTCGGGTCGCCATTGGCTGAATATTTTTTTTTTGCCACCACGACATGTTTCTGATTAATTTTTTAAATGATTTTTAATATTTTATACAATAAAACCCCTCTTTTCGAATGAAAATTGTACAAAGACAAATATTTTTGTCATAAACACATACACGCGTTCAATATGACGCATACACTAACACAGCAATAAAGGTGTTACCTTGTATTCTAGTTCCACATTGAAATTCAATCCACAAATAGGTTTCGTTGCCTATTCGATATATCGATTGTGGATTCTTCTTTTTCATTCTCTCAAATACGAACACCTACGACATTGACATAGAGACAAAGCGAATAGGAAAAGAATCGTAGAACGAACGATTTCGATCAAATATCAAGTTTTGCCGTATTTTAATTGTAGTCGATTGAATTTTGTTGGTGTTCAATTTCATTTCATTCATATTATTTCGATTTCTTTTATTCATTTGTGTTAATTTATTATTATATTTTCAACGAATAGTGCGTGACTTTTTCGCCAACCAATAACCAGAGTGTGCGTGCAAATTAACAAACCGTATATCGAAGTTTTTATTTACGTTTTTGTTTTTATTTGGGACAAAAGTTTAAAAGTAAGAGACAATTATTTTGTTTTATTTTTTTCTTTTGCATTCTTTTCTTTCTTTTCAATTTTCTTTCTGTTGTTTATTTTTATTTATATTTTGAAATGTATTCGAATATCGTTAATCAAACATGCATAGTTCGTTTAGATAATGGAATAGGTCAATTGATTGTTTTCGTTTTGTTTTATAAAATATAAGCAACCAGTTTGCCTTTACAACTTTTCCGCATACCGTGTGTGTTGTGTGTACAATATAAAGTAAATTAACTTTTGTTTCAATTGCATTCAATAAAAACGTGTCAAATTAACAGTGAATTTCCTCGTGAACACTTATTCGTGTTGTGATCAAATCGAATGGGGTCGACTCAAGTAAACTTTCAATTAATCTTCAATGTTTCGTAATACATTTTGATGGTCATTTTTTTCATAATTATGGCATCAATTCGAATCAAAAATTGTTTGCATTTTATTTGCTTCTTTCAAATGCGGAGACAAATAAGCCTTTTCATTCCACAAAAGAATAAGGTTATGTTCATTTAAATGACACGCATATTCGATGTCTGCCAAACGAGACAAAACGTGACAAAGTTCAAAGTGAAAAGTAGCATTGCCTTGAAATGATTTTTTTTCTAGTACTTTCTTGAATGCTTTCAATGTATTGCTCTTTGTTCACACCGTAACGATTCGCAACATTTGTTAATGGGCTATCTTCATTCTGCCAATTTCTTTTCTAATTGTCATGCATACGTGTATGTGTGAGCGTTACGTTTGCCACAGTATTGGATTGTTATACCTGAATTCATACACGATTTTCATGACAAAAAAAGAGTAGAACTGTTGTGTCGACAATCTGATGACGCATAATGCGTTCAACTTGTTGCCAATGTGTTTGTTTGCACGTATTCATTGGAACGGCGACTTTTTTCCGAGTATTGTGTCATTAGCAATCGAACCGGTTCGCATTTTCACACCGATTCGAAATGCGGTGCGGCGACACTCAGCGCTACAAAAGCAGTCGACCGATCGCAACACATTCATTTCCAAATATTTTTTGATGAGCTGTCGTGTGCTCATTTCTTTCCATTTTTTTCCACATTCTTTCATTCGTCTTCTGACTCAAAAGTAACTGTACAACGCGATATAGTATTAAGTGAAACACATTTATTCCACATTTTTCGTTAGTTTTAACTATTTGTGATTTTTTTTTTAATTTTTTAATATTTAAATAGGCGGGATATTAAATCCCACAGGTAATTTAACTGATTTTTTTTTTGTTCACGAACCCGGTCTTTGAAGCGCCACCAAAATTCCGGAAGCCGTTCTATATGTGAAACTGTATAAATTTTTTTTGGTACTTAAAACTGATTCACGTTCGTTTTTAGGTTAGAAAATCGTAAAATCGGAAAATTCTTCATTTTTAATGTGTTTTTCGTAACATTTTTTCCTCGCCTTTTTTCGAATATTGTGATATTTTTTGCTATCTTTTCGTTCTTGTGTGTTTGAAAATAAATTTCACGCGTTCAACAGAAAGTTTTTGTAGATTGAAAATAAAATAAAACATAGAAATATTACATTGAATTTATGTGAACATTTTCGCAATTTTTTTTTGTTTCAGCAATTTATTGTATGAGTCAGAAAATCGAAAGACCAGTACTATCAGGTCAACGCATCAAGACCAGAAAAAGAGGTTAGTTTTTGTTTATTTGTCTATTTCTTATCAACAGGTTTACATTTATTGTCTGAATTACTCCATTAGATCCGAACTTTTGTTTTCGCTTTATTTTCATTTAATTGATTGGATGTGTTTTTTGTTTTTGTTTTTCTTGCATTTGTTCAGATGAAAAAGAGAAATACGACCCCACGGGATTCCGTGATGCGGTCATTGCTGGTCTTGAAAAGAATGGCAGTGATTTAGAATCTATTTCGAAGTATTTGGACGGTGCTGGTAATAAACTGGATTACCGCCGCTACGGCGAGGTGTTGTTTGATATCTTGATTGCTGGTGGTCTCTTGGTTCCTGGTGGCTCGATTTCGCAAGATGGCGAGAAACCAAGTACTGAATATTGTATCTTCCGCGCATCTGAAGATATGGAATCCATGCGCCAACAGGAGCAGGTATTCTACAAGCTCATGCGTCGATATAAATATCTGGAGAAGATGTTTGAGGAGGAAATGAAGAAAGTGTTGATCTTCATCAAGGGTTTTACTCCAAGTGAACGTACCAAATTGGCGCGCATGACTGCCCTTTGGATTGGTTAGTACATTTACAAATTCATTTTTAATTTATAAGTTGCTATTTACTTTAAGAATCCAGATTTTGCCTAATGATTCCATTGTGTGTTCATCAGGAATTGTTACTTCCTATTTCTGGATAAATCAAAGACCATGAAAACAATACTGACGATATTTTATACTTTCGATTTGAATATTGTTACTGTGTTCTCAACAAAACCAACAAAAAACTTAAGCTTTTATTGGTCAAACACTATCGTTTTGTACGATATATATGCCTCCAGTTTTTGCCTAATAATTCTGGTATTAATTAGGAATTATTACTTCCCATGAACTGGACAGAGAAATTAGACATTCAACAGGCCATAACAACCAAAGTGGTATTATGGCTAGAAAATAATCTAACACATATCATAGACTTTCACATACAAATATGACAACAACAAAAAATTGAATTATGCATTTACTTTTTCCATTTTTTCTACATTTTTGCAGCCAATGGTTCAGTTCCGCCAACCGTTTTGTTGTCCTTGATCAATGAGCATCTCATTAAAGATGAAATTGCTATTGACTTTTTCCTTGAAGTTTGCTTGACAATTAAGCAAGAGAAAGGAATGTCTTCATTGGTCCAGATCCTTAAGAAGGGCAACATTGAAAGCAGGTAAGACTATCACTACTCCCATTGATTATATGCATGCACTTCATTAGAACTGATTCCATGGATTTTTCTACCAAAAATCGGTGTCGAAAATGTGCTATAGCATAAACCATGAATTTCTATTACTTGTCCGATTAATTGAGAATGTAAGACGGTTACAGTCAAATGTACAGTTCTGCCAAATGCATTCAACTTCAATAATTGGTTTTTCAAGATATTCAACACGTTTTCTTCCCTCAACAATTGTTCTTCTTTCAATTGTTTTCTTTTTTTTTTAATTATTTATTGATCTATTTTCTAATTTTTATTTTTTGTGTGGAATTTTATAGACTTATGGATTTTTTCCCGACGAAAAAGCAAACAGAAGAATACTTAAAATCAGTTTTCATTGATAAAGGCTTGGCGGAAGTAGTGAAATTGCACAAGGCTCAAGCAAGCCACGAAGCAAAGCGGGAATTGACACAAGTACGTATTTTTTCAACAAACTATCAAACATTCAGTTGTTGCACTTTAGGAAAGAGTTTTATTTGGTGCATGTGCCAAAGAGATTCTTTTAAAATTTTCGAGAAAAAAATTTGGGTGCAAGAATAAATTAAATCTTTTGCTTACATTTGTTTCCGATCAATGGATCCCGATGTCAATGAAGAATTTGACAAAATCACTTATCCATTTCAAGTGATTGAAAAATCAATGATTGAGTTTTTTTTTAATTCTATATTTTTTTTGTTTATTTTTTCTTCAATCAAAAAGGTTCTCAACGATGACATCCGAGATAATAAAACGCACAAGGAGATCATTTCTGACATTCGTGAGTTGGCTCAAAAATCCAACATTGCCGATCACGAAGTGGTCAGTTTGATTTGGACGACGGTTATGTCATTGGGCGAATGGAACAAAAAGGAAGAATTGGTCACCGATCAAGCATTGAAGCATCTCAAACAGTACACTCAACTTTTAACGGCATTTGCATCTACCGAAAAGGCTGAGCTCTCACTCATTTTAAAGGTGCAAGAATTCTGCTATGAAAACATGAATTTCATGAAAGCGTTCCAAAAAATCATCATTTTATTCTACCAAGGTAAGATTCAATTGAATTGCATGCATCCCGCATTCACAGCAATATAGTAAAATAGTTTAAAGGACTTTCTCCTTGAATTATCAACATTATTGCTAGATAAATTTAACATTCTCGATCTAGAGGCATTCCGCGCATTTTTCGATCGGTCGTCTCTTATAAACCATTATGTTACATTTAAAAAAAAAATGTTTTGAATTTCTTCAGTTTTATTCAAGGAACAGAGTCGATATGGTTTTTTGTTTGGTCCACTTTGAATTTATTGATGTGGATCAACATATATCGCAATAAAATTATAAAATAGTTTAAAGGACTTTCTCCTTGAATTATCAACATTGTTGCTAGATAAATTTAACACTCTCGATCTAGAGGCATTCCGCGCATTTTTCGATCGGTCGTCTCTTATAAACCATTGTGCTACATTTACAACGAAAATACCATATCTTTTCTGAAATTGAATACACAAAACACATAAATTCGACATCTGATTTCGTTTATTATAATTTTAATTTATTTTTATTTGTTGCAGCTGGAATTGTTTCGGAAGAGGCCGTTTTAAAATGGTACAAGGATGGACACTCACAAAAGGGAAAAATGCACTTCTTGGAACAAATGAAGAAATTCATTGAATGGCTTCAAAATGCAGAAGAAGAATCAGAATCTGAGGAGGAAGACTAAAGAGATTTTAGCCTCCCTAAACCACCCAAGCAAAATCGAACGCAAACAAAATATAAATCATCAGAATTCAAAAAAAAAAAACAACAACCATTTAATCCATACCAGCAAAACTTAATTCTAAAACTAATAAATGAACAAGATAAAAAAAAAACTCAAAAAGAGAACAAAAACAAAAATAAACCAATCGAATTTTCAATTGCAAGCAAAGTGCATAAACTTCCAATAAAAGAACGAATTATCAATAGGTCACAAAAGTCGAATCGCCAAATATTTTTCATTTGGCGAAACAATTTATTATAAACGCAAAACGTTTTCAAACGGTAGCATTGTAATGGTCATACGTGAAAACGTCGTGTACGTACATTCATAATGAAATAGACTAACGAACCGAATATCTAATTATCTATACAGTTTGATGTCAGAATATATACTTTTCTTTGTTCACATAATAATTTAATCCTCCAATCTACCTTGTTTAAATAGACCGTTTTGATCGTTTCATTTTGTATTTACATTTGCATCAACTCATATTGTACGTATTGTGAATATTATTTAAATGGTATATTAACTACTGATTTTGGATGCATATTGGACAAAGCATGCAATAAATATCAAATCAACAACAGAACAAAAAACCACACAACCCGCCTTTCCTTTAATTTCATTCATTTTTCAGGTTGTCAAAGCTTTCCCTGGGAAGTTTCCCATGCAATCAGAATACTGTTGCTATGTATAAGAAGAGCTAGAGGGTTAAAAGTCAAAGAAATTGAACACTCATGCGACTTCAGTTTAAATTTATTTTATTTTATTCTAATTAAATGGAAACACTTATATTTCACTGTCCGACTCATATTCAATCCAATCGAATGAGTTTTCATCCAGATTTCTGCTTTGAAGATAGTTCTCAAATTGCTCGGGAATCGACATCAATTTTCGGCATTTCGCTCTGAACTGTTTCCATGTCCACTGATCATAATTCTTCTGGTCAAGTACCATGGCTTTATAGTTCAATTTGTGCTTGTCCATCATGTAAGTGATATGAGCAACGACACCTTTTGGTAATCTGAAATGTGTAATTGAAATTTAAATCTTATATCTGGATTATTATTAAATGATTAATACCTGAAATTCGATTCTCGAAGAGCATTAGCATCGGCTTCCATTTGTTCCATAACAAATCCTTTTGACCGATTCACTGGCTTTGGCTCGACGGTGTTTTCTTCTTCGACAAATCCATGCATTTTCTTGATTACTTGCACACGTTCCGCATGTGCATTTGGAATTTTAATGATTTTATTCGGGTCCCAGCCCAAGCCGATATCTTTCAAATTGGCTGTTATCGTTTTTCGGTCCTCCCAAACATTTTTGATTTCCTTACTGTTTCAAAATTGGAAAAGAAAATTCATAAGTAACACGACGACAAAATCCACTGAAATCATTTAAATGCACACAAATATTTACCATTTGATTTGTCCGGTGCTCAGTTTCTGTTTGTTTAATCGTTTACGATTCACATTGTAACGAAACTTTTTCGCTTTTCGCAATTTACGTAGTTTTGGCATCTTTCTGGATTTTCGATATTATTTTGAATAGAATTTGAAACTAAATCGTTGTACGCACAATCGAAATGTATGGATTTCCGAAAACAACGTGCTATAGTAAACAGCAACATTACCACGCTGAAATGTCATATGCATGCGTACCTAAGACTGTCATCTAAGTATAGTACTTGATCGTACTTTATGTGAACTTGAGAAACTTAAAAAATTAAGTCAGTTACTATTACGAAGAGGGTTTTTTGAATGGAAAATTGATTGAAATGTTAAATGGTTTTATATTTTTGAGATTTTAAGTAATAGTCTACAATATTTACATTTTGTTCGGTTTTAACTTGCACATCTGTGCATTCAATTGCAATGCTGCCATTCAATAACAATATATATGGTTTTCATTTTTGCGATGGAATTACTATCCAATATCAAATCTTGATATTAACCGTACGAAGTGCCAACATTCCGCAAAATTCATTAGAAATCAAATCATTTGTTTTTAAATCGATGTTGAATTTCAAGCTTATACGTAATAGTTCGACGGTGAATAAAATGAGAATATATTTTTAATATTCCGTAACAATTGGTCGACATTTTTTTGAAAACATTGGATTCATCTACTATCCTCTGCAACGCCGCTGAGCGGGAAAAATCATATTTTAGTATCATCTTTCAATTTCGAAATTTCGTTTTATCGATCCAGGCGAGGGAAGAAATTAATTTGGGCAAAAGGAATGTAGGAATTTTATTTTCAATACAAACTACGGCGCAATGAAAATTGTTTACAAAACGATATGGTGTATGTAACATGGAAGTGTTTATTGTGCCATTACAATACGAAAACCGAATTTGCTGACGCAGCAAAATATAAACTTATGAATGATTTGTAGCCTGTTTAATGGTAATGTATTATTTATATTAACACTTGATTCGCATCGAAACTGAAAATATTTTAATTGAACAAACAAAATGGAATAAAAACACAGACGCTTCTGATATGGAACCATTATTTTATTTATTGAATTATCATTAACAATGATTGTATATTATTATTAAATTTAAATATAGGAATTCAAAATATTCATTTTATTGATTATAAATCTACATCAAGAAACATTAAAATTGATAGCAACATTCATTTTACTTTTTACAACACTTCTCTCAGTACGTTTATTTCAGTTGAAAGAATTGTGGTTAGATTAGTGGCATCATTTCACCGGCATTATTTTTCAGTTGAAATTTATTTCCGACTTTTCTAATGTTATTTAATCTGTGTTCCAAGGTATTACCAATGGCTGTGACGTTTGCAACATTTCCCCACACGCGCAATTCGGTACAATGAAAGGATACTTGTCATAATTTTCATTTTCTAATTTCAACAGAAATTTCTCGGCATTTTGCAAGAGCTGTTTTTTAAACTGTTCTCTGTTGATCCCTAAACGTGGTTAGTTTTAATCCAAAGCTTGTTGGAAATATTTAATTGAAAATATGTGTTTATTTATGTCTCAAGTTTAACTAAAGTTACGTTGATCGGTTAATGTTGTTTAAGAATATGTGTGTTTAAAATATCTTTTGTATGTAGCTTGCCATACGAATCAATTACATTATTTTGATTATTGTACGATCACACACTTCTATGCCATAATTTTATCTTAAAAAACGTCATTTTCTTAATAACTAAATATGTCTACGATGACAGTTTGAGATTTACTGAGTTTCAATAAAAAATTGAATGTTCCCATTCGACGGCGTCAGCTCGTTTCAATTCAATCTTGCTGAAATCAGTTTGAAAGAGTGCATATTTCGTGGTAACGAAGACAAAGTCATCAACGTATAGAGTAATTTTGCATGCGCCGGCCAATTGTTTCCGTTCATTGTTCAAGGCTGGCAAATCGATGACGAGTCGTTCAAAGTACGTGCCTTCAACTAATTGCTCGACTTTGATTTCTTTGACTTTTGGTGCGTGGCGAATGAGTTGGGTGAGCTGGTCTGAATCGACGAGACGCAAATAAACACGTTCCACGTTTACCAAATCCTTGGCAACCGTTTCAAAACTAAATGCTTCATCCGGATCTTCATCCATCATGATGCAAAATTCTTTGAGTTCTGGCAAATGTGGTAGACTGGGACTTGTCATTACAACGGCGAGATAAAGTTTTTCCAAACCGCTAACTGAGGCGATTTGATTTATTTCATCAGTATTGTATATAAATCTGGCATAGAAATGCAAACGCTTGTATACACCTATAGTGAAGAATCACAGAAGAAAAGAATTGAAATAATCGAAATAATGGAAACATATAATGAAAATGAAATTGCAAAAGAAAATAAATTCATATAGCTTAAGACAACATAGATACCTTCATCATACAAACGGTTCAGCAAATCGAGACAATCTACCATTTCCGTCAAAAGACAATTCACAGCAATGTCCAATTGATCCAATTTGACTTTTGAACCCAACAAAGACTGCAACATCAATTTAAGCGGCAGAGTGGAAAACGTTGAAAAACGTCGAACATTCGGATTAAGTTCGAGGAATATTTTCAATTCAGGCATTGACATTTCATCACTATGATCCATGTCGACCATTTCAAGGTGTTCAAGGGTTGGATACGTTTGAAGTAACCATTCGTTTTCGTTGCCGACCATTCTTCCACGAATGTATGGACAGCTGAGGTACTTCAAACTGGTGCAACATTGGAGAAGCGTTTTGCGGGATTCAAGTTCAAGAGTACCTGAAACTATCAACTTTTCGACATTGCCCAGGATGTCTTCGATTTTGCCAATGCTTCCAATGTCCACTGCACTCGAGCAAACAGTGATTTGCTTGATCAATTTGGCACAACTGGAGGGAAGCTTACAATCTTTATGAAGAATTTCCTTTCCATATCCGACTTTGATTGCTGGAAGCTTCCCCTTTATGTAATTGTCAATCACTTTCTGGAGACACTTGCAAGTTTGACGAAGAGAAAGGATGTCGGTCGTTGAGAGATATTCAAGTATTTCTTCAAAACCGTCAATGTAAATCTTGAGCATGGGTGATTCGTCATCAGCAACAGCAACAGCAACTGGATTTTGTGCATCGGCTTCAATTACATTCTTAATTTCAGTTGCAACTTTTCTTTCAACATCACCGGATTCGTCGCTCATTTTGATGGTTTTTTGAACTTGATTTGCTTTCAATTTACTTTTGGTTGAATTGGTTGATTCTGAAAAAACAACAACAACATTTTTTCAGAAATGAAAACATTTTAAAAAGTAAAATAATCTTATATCGAAAAACGCAAACAGTTCCAAATTCTGCTCCTTTGTTTCGTTATTTTTTTTACATAAACATTTTGCATTTGTTTATTTGATTTTGTTTGTATTGCTTCTCGGATCTTAACTGGACTGATTTTTTCATTGTGAACGATTGATACAACTACTTAAATAGTTTGGAATGGAAAACTACAAGAATTATGATGCCGATTTCAATTTTGATAGGAAAGTCGAACAAAATAATATAAATACGTTCTATAAGCTCAATCAAAAGTAGGTAGATTGTATTTTTACCTTTTACGGAAGAATTGATCTGATTGTGAATGCAAATTTTCTCTTCAATACATTTTATACAATAAATATAAATTTGTGGACGCACGAACTATCTGACAACAACAGGTGAATGATCAACGTTTGACAAGTTATGACTTGACGTTCAGTGCAGAAGTGACATTTAATTCCAAAAATTGACATTTCGAAATGTTGGTCTCATTGTTCCAGGGTTTTCTATTTATAGATTATGTTAAAACCAATTTTATTTTTGATTTCAAATGCATCAAATTTATTCAAGTATTTTGTCATATAATTGTTCTAAGGTCTTGTTGTTTTTCTAAAGGTTTCAAGAAAAATGTTGAACAAGTGGAACTAGCTGTTCCTTGAAAGCAACTGTTAATTGATATGACCTTTTCAAAGGGATGCTTGTACTGAAAAAAAAAAATCCGTTTTTAGTTTTTGTACTATCATTTATTTTATTTTTTCATTAGAGTTATATCAAACGAAATTACGATCATTTTAAACCAAACTTTTCTCAAATATAATCATTTTTGCAAAGGTTAAGAACTCAGTTGTTTTCCAAGGTGGTGTTATGCTTGTGCGCAGCGTTTCCATTTCTTCTAGACTGTTACAGTTCATACTGAATTTGGCTAAATATTGATTAGCTTTCAGAAAATTTAAAGTTTCAGCTACAGTCATATCATTTGATTCCACATTTAATAGAATCTCAACACGATTTTGTCTCAAGGCAGAATATCTTGCCAATTCTTTTCCAATGGAAGGTAAAAGACCATCGACAATATTTACATTTAGGGTTATCTTTTCAATTGTCGGATTTGCATTTGCAAATTGAACTAAACTGTTCACATGTCCGGCCCAACACGCAATGTATACTTCTTTGAGACGATCAAACGAAAATACAGCGCCAGGTTTGGGTTCCACAAAATCGACATCATCATCATTATTCCAAAAAAAAGAAAGATCTTCGACGCATTTATAACGAATTGGCGTTCCTTTGAAATGCTCAAAATGCCACGTTGAATAATATATGGTGAGCGCTCGAAGATTCGGCAGTTCCCTGGCAATAAACTCATACGTTTCTGCTTCAAAATGTTCATATAGATCTATTTTCTGAAGATTTGGATTTGAAACGATGGCTGATCGAATACTTCTGGTCGTTAAACGGTCTCCGTCGCTAATATCCATTCGCAGGTGCTCCATATTTGGGAAATTGTTTATTTTGAATACTGATGGCTCAATTTTTACACTTTGAAATTGCATTACCCGTACATTTGGAAAAACTTGTCTTATTCGTTCTGTTAATTTCGTATTAAATCTTGCACCTCCAAAACAAATATTTTCAACGTTTTTAAATGTGCCTTTCAAATTGCACAGAACGTTGTCAGGATAATTAATTGCTACAAATGAGGTAAGTGATTCTAAACAATATTTTTGAATGTATTGTTCTATTTCGTTAAAATCTGTATCTATTTTAAGTCCCCTTCCCCATACTTCTACCATAGAAATGTGGTGCCCAAAAATCCTTATCAGTTTGGTTGTAAGTTCTGTACTTTTTATAATGATTTTTTGATGTTCGGCAAACGAATTCGTAAATTCAACTAATCTATCGAGCGGTGGTGCGTTAAGCATGAATTTATTGTTTCTGTATTTAGCATAGAACGCCATATCGGTTACGAATTTAAGCTTCTGATTTGTTTCGGCCGCACTTATCAAATCCTCTACATTCAATTTTTGTAATATTTGCCCGATACAATCACAGTTCATGTCAGTTAGTTTCGTTGATTTTCGATGATTTAAATCGAAATATTGAATGTTTGTTTGACGTACGGTAAATGCGTCTCGTTTTCGATTATCGGCCATGGTGAAAATGCTTCAAACTGAAAATAATACAATTATAATTATTATGATGTACTAAAAGCTATAGGGAGAAGGCACGGTTACCTATTTCGTCTAATTTTCGTTTAATATTTTCTAATGTTCCCTAATTCTCTCTAAGTTTTTCTAGTTTTTTTTCTGGTCTTTTTCTAGTCTTTTTTCTAATAAGCGTACAAATTCAGTGACGTTACAAAATGTGCATTTCTGTTTTGCATTGACAGTGAAGTTGGCTTCACAGCAAACGTCGTCAGTTATTTGGTTAACTCAGTTCGCTTCAAATTTTTATTGAAAAATATAACAAAAAGTGTTTTTTTTTAATATTATTTTTTCGTTAAAATCTTAGAAAATAATAAATTATAATATTAATTTCAAAACATACAATGGTCTCTGGGATGGCGACGTTGAACTTTATCATGAAATGTTTTTGGCCGATGTTGTAAGGTTTCTAGTGCATTAATGCCTCTAATAAGTTTTATTATTTTCTGGTGAATCCAAATTTTTTATTCATATCTCCTTACTATAAGAGGCAATTAATTTGAATTTTATCGGAATTTTCCATGCACTTATTTCAAATTGAATAAGTCCACACTTTCACCAGAAAAGATTGTTAATTGTTACTTTAATTGTCTGCATGCTTACAATTTATATTTACAAAATAATCTAAATATATATGCATTCATTAGGAGGAAATAATGTGTGTAATAATACTTAGAGTCTTGGTAAAGAAAAGAATTAAAATATTTTCTTTTTGTGTTAAATGAGAATATTTGGAAATAAAAGACTTGTTTCAAATAAAATTTGGTAAAATTGTAAACGATTTACTCATATTTATTATTCGAGCGTATCGTTCTAGTATAAAAAATTAAATAATACTTAGCTAAAATAAATTTACTGGCAATACATGGGAATTATTGAATTAAACAAATTAAGACACTTATGCACAAATGATGTTAAAAGCAAGGATAAAAGCGGATACATTGATCGATTAATATGTGGTTTTAAAATGAACTTATTTAACTAGCTTGCCATATACGAATTAAATGCACTTTCTGTTTAAAAAAAAAATGAATTGGAAACACCGGTAAGCACAGTGTATACCAAATATAAGGCGCCGGTGGCATTTGGTGAATTTCATTGCTTTAAACACATCCATATTCATACCAGACATGATCATCGCCTTTCTTTTTATCTTTTCCACCATTTCCATTGCTTGCATTATCATTTACGACTGAATTGTTTGGCGAATGTTGGTTATTGGATTTCGGATCTCCCATAACATTTGAGATTCGGTTATACATTACAAAAGTGGATGGAACTTGATCATGAGACGTTGAATGATTATTGTTATTGCTATTGCTACTAATACTTGAATTATTATTGCTGATTATTGAGTGATTTCTATTGTTGCTGGCATGCGATCCAATCAATTCCGAGTCGGACGTTTGTGTCGTTGTATCAGGTAATTTTGAGTTGTCATCCACCACATAAACAGTGCGACGACTTCCGGCCGCGGCCAAAGTAAGACTGCTGCCAGTCACATCGGGTGATTCAAACCTCCTAAAATTGAAAATATTTTTTTGTGAATTTTGACAACAATGTTTCACATTTGATTATGTGAGTATGTTACCCTGTTAAAGTGTTGCGCGATGTTCGCAACAGATCATCTCGAATTAATGGTTGATAGTTCGAAACTGCATCATTATTCTGATCGTTTGCTTTGCGTTGAATTGTTATTTGTGTTTCTTTCTTCAGTAAATTCGTATCAGAAGCCGTTGAGTGTGGCTCTTCGCCACTATTATCCGATTCATTGCCACCTGATTCAAAACCGAGCGTAAATTGGGACTGTGTCAAACGGGATTCATCTAACCATGACCGTCGATTCTGAAATTTCGAATGAAATGATTGAATTTGCAATTCTCTTCTGGCAAAAAAAGAAACACTGAAATACATACACTTTTTGTTGGAACTTTGTTCATTAGATCTGTTCCGGCTTTCTTTACGCGTCTCAATACACCGCTACCGAATGGTTTCCTATGAGATTGAATTGAAAATAATTTTGTTAGAGAAAATGATTTGGCATTTGTTTGTATACCACTATGGCGGTTGGCTTACTTCTTTTGATTACTATCGACTTTTCTATAAAATTCCATAATTTTCTCCTCCAATTTTTCTTTCTGTCGATGTAAATTGTTCACTTTATCTGTAAATAGTTTCTCTTCGTCATGATAGTGCTGTTTGTCATCTAACGAATGGCCCAACAGTTCATGGTATTGGGTGAGAAGTTGAGACACATGGTCCATCAGTGATCGACGATCAATATCCAGATTTGCATTCATTTGAACCAACATCTCACATCGGTTTGCCTCTTTAGTAAGTTCGATTTCAAGTGCCTTTGCTTGATCGATGCGAACACTAAGTTCACCATTCAGTTCGGTATTTTGAAGATTGAGTTTAGCATTTTCCGTTCTTATTATCTTATATTGTTCCTATGGTTGAAATGAAAACATGATAATTAAAAAAAATAAAAAATGACGAGATAGTCCACATACCTGGATACTTTTGTATTCATTTTTGACACGATCATTCGTTGTGAATAGGCTACGGAAGTCATCTTTTAATTTGGAATGTTCCGAACGTAAATTGCTGTACGCTTCGTTCTCTTTCTTCATTGTAAGTAGTTTTGTTTGTAATTCGTTGATTTGTTGTTTAAAATTTTGCTCTTGATCGTGGAAATTTCGATTGTCATGGCGTACATCTCGAAGGGATTCTTTTAGTTTTTTATGCTCTTTACTCAGCGATTCATATTCGATGCTCAATTGATCGTGCAGCGTTTGCATTTGCTTTTGATCGGCCAGCAATGATTTATGTTGGACTTCAATAGTTTCCATTTGTTTGACCAGAGCATCTTTTTCGGATGCCAACTGTGAGTTTGCCAATTGCAACGCCACATGTTGTGTGTTCAGTGATGTAACTTGCGATCCAAGCGTTGAAATATCCACTTTTTGTTTTATCAATTCCTGATTGAGTGTATCATTGGTTGCTTGTAGTTCAACATTTGCGGCAGCGAGTTGATCACACTGTGCCTTCCATTCGGCTGAAACAGACGACAGAACTTCTTCGGTTTGATTTACCAAATCGGCTTCACGTTCGGTAGCTACAACATCAACATTCCTTTGACAAAGAATGCATGCCGAGCTACCGTCATCACTAGTGCCACCACCATCACGATTGGCTATTTCACGTAACACTTTCCAATTTTCTGGACTGTGCATCAATTTTTCAAGAACATTTTCCACACTCAAATCGACCATGTCCTCGTCATTCGTTGGCCAATTGATGTTCAATTTTTCGAGATCTTTTTGAATTTTCGAAATGAGCACATTTTTTGTTATCAGATCATTTTGAAGTGTGGAAAGCGTTTCGACTTTCATCTTGAGCTGTGTCACGTATTCATTGTTTTTACTTTCGAGATCCTGAATTTTGCCGCATTCAGTCTGAGCGGTGGATAGCTGCTTTCGCAACGTCTCAATTTCATTTGTTTGCAAAAGCAATTGAGCACAGTTTTCATCGAGTTGCACTTCCTTTGTCTGTAGAAATGTAATTAATTAGTAAATTGCTGCAATCGTTATCGAACTATTTTTTATTTACCTCCAAAGTTGCCTTGAATTTATTTAAATCTTTCATTAGGTTGGCATTTTCTTTTTCCAATCCGCTGATTTTCTCCTTCAAATCCAATGTCTCGATTTCGAAACGATCGCATGCCTCGGCTTTTGGTAAAATTGTTTCCAGCTCCTTTTTCTTCGTTTCCAAGAATCGTTCCAAATCGTCTGCACGTCGTTGTATGCTTACCTGGAGGTGAATTACACAGAAAAGAATGAAATTAATAAAGAAATAATCGAAAGAATGGATAGAAATTCCAAAATGTATGCTTACGCTCAGATTTTGAATTCGTTGTTTCTCTTTTGTCAGCGTTTCTACTTGCTTTTCGACCGCATCAAGTTTTAGACGATCAAGCTCTTTGTCTTGCATCTGACGTTCGGTGGCCTGTTGTCGATTATCGATTGCATCTTGAAGTTTTTTATTTTCTTCAAGTGCATTTTTGAACATTTCTTCGAGCTCTTGATTTTGCTGTGTAAATCGATTACAGTTCTCCTGAATTTGTTCCAATTTCAACGTAAGCATTTTTTTCTCCTTTTCAAGTTCTAACATTTTGTTTGCCGTTTCTTGGAAGTTTGTTTCTCGCATAGCGTCCAGAGCCTGTTGCAATCGACGATTTTCAAGCTCCAATTTTATAGCTCGAGTCTAAAGAAATTCGCATGTCAAATCGTTTGAGAAGTCGAAAATATTCAACGATTTACCTGTGCATTGTTTGTGAGTTGTTCGGACAAACTGTTATCACCGACCAGACTGTCGTTCTCTTTGCTCTTCACTCGATCAACGTCGCTGAGTTTATTCAAAGATTTCATGGCAAGTTGCAGTGTGGTATTTTCATCGAGTAGCTCCTGCAATTTTTCACGATCAGAATCCCGCTCCAACACCATATCATTCAGTTTCTGCTTGTATTTAATTATTTCCGATTCCAAGGTCATCGACTGTTCAAATCGCTTTCGAGACTGTGTCAATTGATCTTCTAGCATTTCCCTATTGAATAAATTGATAATATTAGTATAATTACATTTCTAATGAGTTTGGGCTTTGTTTACTTTGTTTTTGAGAGCATTTCATTGTCTTGGCGGAGCTCATCTACACGAGATTTAAAAAAGTCGGCATCGCTTAATTTTTCTCGTATCCGTTGCATTTCCAACTCAAGTTGGTCAGCTCGGTCGGCCCGCTCTCGAAGTACATCCACCTCATCTCGATAGGCTGCAGCCCGACATGACTCGGTATACCATTCTTGTGTCTATCGAAATTAAATTATACAAAAATAAGCGGATCGATGCCAAGTTTGATGATATAAAAACTGACTCACCTCACGGCGCAATTTTTCATATTGACTATTTTTGTGCTCTAGTTCCTCTTTTGTTTGAAGGTAGGCATCGGTTTTTTCATCTCTGTAATCATATGGTAAATGGTTGAGTGAGTTCAACATTCCAATATGAATTTTAAAGTAATCTTCAAGTGATTTACTTACAGATCTTGTCGCAATTTTCTCAATTTTGACTTCAAGTCGGCAAGTTCAACAGCAAAATGACTTTGGTCACTGTTGATTGTGGCAGTTTGGTTGGTGGATGTTTCTAATGTTGAAAATTTTGCATCGTTTGGATTCGGTGTCACCTGTGTTATCCAATCGGTGTGATATTTGTCACGCTCACGAGCAATACGGACGACCAAATCAATCAAATGTTCAACACTAAGATTATAACTGTATGCACAAAAGTTGATCAATTAATAATTTTTGCGAAACAACGCAATTGAAAGAGATCAATAAAGAATTTCTTGAAGAAAAAAAAAATAAAATATATGATGTTCGTTAATTACCGTCGATCGCTGTCAACGGTGTCCGTGTTAAGAACCAGTGTTTGTGAATCTGTCACACTCTTGATGATATCAACTATGGCATGTTGTGTATCTACTTCTAGTTCTTTAATACGTGCAATGAAAAATTGCTTATTAGGGCATTGAACCGCAGCGCCGAGCAGTAAAGTGAATAGTAATTTCATTTGTTCCAATCCAGCTTTTGATTCTTTTGTAAAAAAACAAATAAGAAAAAAGAAAAGAACAGAGAGAGAGAGAGAAAGAGAGAAATGATTGCCGCAAAACTGACTCAACCATACTAATAAAAATAATAATAATGAGTGTTTTGAAATTTCAAACCTGGTGTGTGACCTAAAGTCATACAGTCCGGAACAACAAGTATTGTTTGACCCAGTTCTTCTTCATACAGCGCTCGCATATTGCGAATAACATTATCGAAGTTTTTGGCCCGAACAATCGGTATTGCGGTGTCATCCAAATCGGTCAAAGGCTGTGGATAAAATTGTGGCTCTGGATCGATATTTCGCCAAACTGCATGGAAAATTGATGCATCGAATAACGATTGATAGCCATTTAAATGTTCGGGACGTGGTAAACATGACTCCAGCTACAAAAACAATACACGCATTAATTTTTAGATACGAATAAAAGTTTTAGTTTTGGTGCATAATTTGCAACAGAGATTTAACGGTAATTAGAGCTTAAATTAGTTTTCATTTCAAACATTCTGGCAAAGGTTACGTAAGTCGATGTATTTACGTCTTATATTCGCCCAACTTTACGTAATTTAATTCGTATGAGAATAGACATAAGTGTTCAAATAATTACTTAGTTTGCATATTTGGATCATAAATTTACGCTTTAACCCATCTCAGCAATCGCTGAATTTGAGCTTAACATGCTATTCACATTTGGCTATGACTGAAACATACAAAAAAAAAACGAAGTAGTCAATTGTAATTTTCCTTCATTCTATGTAGAACCTTCTATGCGGAAACCAGCCAGAGTGGAAAACGGCAATTAATTGAATCGTTTTAAAGAAATCATCACACCATTTGAACGAACTACAACACTTTTCAAATTCGGTAGTTTACGGTAAAATCTTTGTGTTTGCCTTATTTATTTTCATTAAAATTTCATTATTTATTCAAATTTCAATGCCATAAACTGGCTAAACAAATTTTTATACGGCAACAAAGTCTATTCTAATACAACAATGATTTAACAATTTTTTTTTTATATTCTCGATAGCTGATCAAGATGAGTTATCGATTTTTTAGACCTGAATTGCATTCAAAATCTTTTGATCTTTTTCGTCAACCATGCAAAAAGTACTCACGCATTTTACCAAATGCATCGTGGGCTACAGTACCGATGCCGATTCGTACACCACCCAATGAAGATGAATTGAAAGCACATTTCGTAAGTTTCGGCTATTCGGTTGACATTACAACGAAATATCGTCGTATTTTCACGGATGAAGAGCAACCGTCGTCGGGCGAAGGTGTTAAGAGCGATTCATCGAGCGAATCAAATGCCCCACTTCAATTATACTGCGGTCATATACCAAGTGATGTAACCGAACGTGAGCTCTTTGATGTAATCAATGGTCACGCAAAACCCATTGAAATTTGCCTAATGATGGACGCCGTTACTCAAAAACATCGTGGTTTTGCATTCATCAAACTGGCCAATGAACAAGATCAACAGCTCATTTTAAGCAAAATCAATGGTTTCGAAATACGACCAAGTCGATATTTAAAATTAAATATTTACAAACCAAATCGGTCCTTGTATGTGGCAAACATTCCGAAATCGATCAGCGCCGACCAGTTGCGCGAAGAATTTGATAAAATATTGCAAGGTATTGCAAATGTTGTGGTCTATCGACCGTTTAGCAATTGTCGCATTGGCGATCAAAATCGTGGTTTTTGCTTTTTGGAATTTGAATCACATGAAATGGCTCGCGTTGCCAAACGAAAGCTGGAACAAGATCCAAAGCGTATTTTTACGAATGCCGTTTTTGTCGATTGGGCCGATTCATTGGATCCACCATCCGATGAGGTGATGCAAAATGTGCGCGTACTTTATGTACGAAACATACACGAAACGGTTACCGAATCACAATTGGAACAAGTCTTCAGTCCGTTTGGTGAAATTCAACGCGTGAAGCGAATCAAGAACTTTGCATTCATTCATTTTCTCAATCGATGCGACGCTTTAAACGCAATGAAATCATTGCAAAATTTACAATTGTGCGGCGAAAATATCTCGATATCGCTATCATATCCACCGGTAAAATCTTTGTCTTTTTTTATTTTCATTAAAATTTCATTATTTATTTCAATTTTAAAGCCATACACTGGCTGAATATATTTTTATGTCGCAACAAAGTCTATTCTAATACAATATTGATTTAACCATTTTTTATATTCTCGATAGCTTGACAAGAAGAAAAAAGAAGAAGTACTCAGATTAAGACAAGAAAGAATCATGAGAGAAACTCCCATTCGCATTCGATATTAAGCGATTAATTAACCATTATCTTCATGTTTTTCCCAATGTATTCACAATAAAAAAAAAATAATTAAATAAATAAATAAGCGACATTACGAAGAAAAATGAAATACATACCCATGTAATTAATGCTCCGTTTAGGAATTCATCGATTTCAGTTGTTGTAGCGTTGGTCGACATAGTGCTGCTTTTAGTTTGAATGTATGCACAAATATCACAAATATTTTGATTTGATGTTACGATGTTTATTTAATTTGCACAGCGCTCATGACGCGGGATCACAACATTTTGGTTCGAATTAATTGGTCCATACAACTACGCACATCAAAGACACATCACATATTGAATATTTATCGGCAATTAACACCAAAGTTCTAAATAAAGAAAACGAATAAACATTTCAGAAAAAATATAGAGATACGTAGTATTAAATTGGAAATCGTCTATAAATGAATTCAAATGTAACTAAATTCATGGAATGGTCTTTTTTATTTGGATGAGACATCCAAATGGGAGAAAATTAAAACTGAGACCGAATCACTGATGCAAATCGAAGACACTAACAACCGCAATGAAAAAAAAAACAACAACAACACAAATATAAGAAAGAAATCTGGTCCCGAACACACGAAACACCGAGAGAGATAGAGACCACGTACCACAGCGACACAAAAATATTCACATTCGCTGAAACACATATATGCATATAATTTCAACATGTGTAACATAATCGCATTTCAGGCAATGCGACGGCTGCATTGAAAGAAAAAGTATCGACCGTTTATGGTACACTGCACCGATGTAAAAGAAGCACATTTGACGCTTCGTAAGCTGCATCATAATACGTGCATGTCTCTTTCTGTTATTTTTTTTTTCTTCTTTTCTTTATTTGGTTCACTTAGCCGTGCACGTACATAGATTCTTTAAATCTGTGCATTTTTCATTCGATTTTTCTTGTCGTTCGTTTCACATTTTATGTACTCTATTTCTCATTCCATTTTCGGTATATGGTGGACATGCACCGCATGTAGTTGGTGTATTTATAATACAAAAGAGAGAAAGAGAAAAAAGCAGATATTTCATGTAAAAATATCCGTGGCGGCTAAAAGGCACATATGGTGAGTGGACCGACCGACTGAACGAACGAATGAAAAACCGACAATAACAGCAATATTATGTGTAACTATAGCACAATACCACGCACGTATTTGTTTATGGCAATCACTTGTCTTTGCTCAATAACTGGCTATATATTCCTTTTTCTATCTTTATTTTTCCTCAATATAGCATTACATTCTTCTACTTGCTTATTTTCCACATTCATTGCACATCAAATTCAGATTGCTCTCGCTTCAACAATAAAATGACTAAACATCCCAGCCATTCGAACAATTTTTACATTTATACATTGAACAGACAAATGATCTCTCATAAAATTCAAGTGGTGTTGTTGTTTTTTTTTTATATTCATTCAAATGTTGATATGTATGTGCATTGGTTGTCTATTGTCATTCAAATTTTCATATTCGGTGATAGAGTAGCGATCGTCAGTGGCACCTGTCTATTATAATATGCTAATATTGTTATTAGTTAGCATCTCACAAAATTACTTTGGCAATGAAATTCATAAACAATTCGCCTTATTAAAATGATTTACGTCGTTCACGCAAATTGAATTGTAAATACAATAAACAACGACACGCGAAAACATTTGATTGAGATAGAGAAAGAGATGGAAATATCTGCACATCGATTCACTTTTAATTCACAATCACACAAAACACATTTATGTTTCGATTTTCACAGCACCTGTGCTAGCTCCTTCTCCGTTTGTTCAGGATTTCAAAAATCAAATGGATTTCAATTGAACTCTCAACGAGTGCCAGACAATGAAGCCAAACTTGCATTAAGTGAAATATAACACTAAAGACACAGAATTTGCATTCACTCAATACAAAAGATATATCTATAGAATTTTTTTATGTGTATGTTTTGAATTGGACTTTTTTTGCACGAAAAAAAGACGATGAAGAGAACGCTCTCGGCTGTATTGTATTGTTTGTTGTTGAATTAAAACTGCTTTCTATTCTTCTGACTCTGTTCAACATTCACGCGTCTCTCAACGCACAAACATTTGTCCAACGAACATTTACGTCTGTTTCGTTTGAGCGTGTATGAGTGTGTTACTATGTGTGTATGTATTGTTGTGGTTCGTTTGTTGTTTACTCTTCTGTCTACCGACCGATCCGAATATATATTCTGATCTTAAGAAATGTGAGGCGATACCTTTTGCACAAATGAAATTTAACACGGTTCGGTGAATTTCTATTGCGAATGTATTTGTGCGTCAAATATGACTCGTATATGCGGTCATTTTTGGGACAGAAATAAAAACCATGCGAAGTTGTTCATCAGGCAAGTGTAAGACGTTAAAACGTGACCAATGTATGTGTGGGTGTTTGCTTCGAATGCTTCGGAATAGAGAATAAATTGGAAATTATTTATTTATTACATTTTGTACGAAGAAAGAATTTTTTTTTATTCAAATGTTATTTCATTGAATTTCAAATCGAAATTATTCCAATGCATCTGCTAATTTGAAATCATATATCTCAAAATATTTTAAATTGAATGTAGTGTGGCGCGTTTGAAATGTCAATTTCAATCAGTTTGTGTCCCAAACAATTTGTGACGTCGTGAATGACGTTTCGGTTTGAATTTCTCAAATACGCGCAATATACACATCGAATGAAATTTCCATACTTATGTGCAATGTAATGTAAAAAAGTCAATGTAGGTTAGAATTTTTTGACAATGGCCACTGACGGGATTTCACCTGCACTCGCAAGTAAATATCAAAATTATTTTATATTTCACAGTTTAAAATGTAAAACAATGTTTAAATTAGGTGTACCACCATTTCTAAATTGCATACAATTTTGGTTTTTTATCAATTTTCGATTCATTTTACGATATTTCGATAGAATTTGTGCGAGACACATTGTGACATAGACAAAGAAACAAGCATATATGCGAAACATACGTTGCATATTTATAACACTATAGAAAATATTGTCTTCTTTTATCCACAAATAAAATGCATTAGTCCACATCGTTTGTTAAGAAAATCAATTAATATTTTAAAGGAAAAAAAGTTTCCATTAGAAGTTGAATCGCTTTGGCTTTTCTGATTGGATTTTTTTTCGTATGTGTGGACATTTATATCGATTTACGTTGTTCATGTCATGATTTATCAACGCTTGTTAATTTGTTCAGTGAAATTTTAAAATAATCGAAGTAGTATCAGGACAATCGTGTAGTCGACATTTTCTTGCAAAATGTTAATTGAAAGTTATTGGTATTCCATAGCTGTGGCCGCATTGTTCATTCACATTTGTATTTTTGCGGTTTAATTTTCAGTTCGCTCCAGTGTCGGCGTAGAGCTATGGCATGCGACGAATGCAAGCAACAATTACACAACGAACGAAAAGTTTGCTCGAGACGAGAGTAAATTCTGTCGGGCCATTGAGTTCAGTCCCGATGGGCGATACTTGGCATGGGCAAACGGTAGCAAGTATGTATAATCAATTGGTCTTTGTTAGATTTTGGTAACTAAATGTGATTGTGTTTTGCTATTTTTAGAGTTCAAATTGCAACTGTTAGCGATTGGAATGTCATCTGTTCATTGCCACGACCAAAAGCATTCGCCATAAAATTCTCGCCTAAAGGAACGTATTTAGCAACGCTTGAACATTATTCAACACCCAAAGATGGATCTGAGCCACAACCAAATTTCTGTGTATATCAAGTGAGCACTGGTGAAGCAGTATTTGCCATAATCAACAAGAGCTTTCTCGATGATTGGATGCCCGGCTGGTCAAACGACGAGGGTATTTTTGCACTGATGGTTGGTGGTGAGGCCTATTTTTACGAACCAAATGGTCCGAATGGGTTCCAAAAGTCAGCCAACAAAATTGGCGGAAGTCGAGGTGGCGAACTATCGATTGCAGGTTTGTACCCACAAACAAACAATAAACGGTTTATTAATTAACAGCTGTTTTTTTTTACAACTTTACAGGTTTAGGTAGTAATCCACAAGTTTCTCTGTATGTTCCTGGTGTCAAGGGTCAACCATCTGTTTGCAAAATATTCCGCTATCCAGCACTTGATGCAAATCAAATTGTTGCATCAAAGAGTTTTTATCAGGCTGACCGCGTTGAAATGATGTGGAATAAACGCGCCTCAGGTAAATAACCTCATAATTATGAAAAAAATCAACGATTGAATACAACTTTAAATGCGACTACTTCATTCCATTTTCAGGTATGATTCTGATGACAAGCACAGATGTTGATTCGACTGGCGCTTCTTACTATGGAAAACAAGCACTCTACTTTCTCAGCACAAAGGGTGATTCATGTTCGGTTCCATTAAGTAAAGAAGGCCCCATTCATGCTGTCCAGTGGAATCCGAAAGGCAATGAATTTTGCGTTGTCTACGGTTACATGCCGTCCAAAGCTACGTTCTTTAATTTGAAGTGTGATCCAATATTTGAGGTTAAAGAAGCAGCCAGGAACAGCATTTATTACAATCCATTCGGTTCGATCGTGTTGTTGGGCGGCTTTGGTAATCTACGTGGCAGCGTTGAAGTTTGGGATGCTAACGAAAAAAAATTGATCACAACATTCCAAGCCCCAGACTCCACATTGGTGAGAAATTTATTCGTTTTGAACAACATTGTTTCAATGGAATAGCAAATGAAATTCGTATTCGTTCTTTGTATTTATAGCTGGAATGGGCACCAGATGGTGAAAATATTTTGACCGCAACAACTGCACCACGTTTACGAATTGGAAACGGATTTAAAGTGTGGCATTATTCGGGTGCTCTGCTGCATGAAACTGCTTGGCCGACGGGACAAGAGTTGTTGCAAATCATATGGCAAAAGTATCCAGAAGGTGTATACACTGAAAAGAAAATATCAAATGTCAAGGTGAAAGGCATTGAGCCGAGTCAACCACAAAGCAGTAAGGCAGTTTATGTTCCGCCGAATATTCGTAGCGGTGGCATGCCCACAATTGGTGCATCACCGAAGTTCAATAATCAACCATCTGAAAGAGGACCGATTCCAGGTATTTAAACAAAACAAATTTGTTAATTTAAGTGCATTTTTATTTTTTACTATCGATTTAATGGAAATAATCCTATTAATCAGGTTTACCAATCGGCTATAAAGTGAGTCAAGGTCAGCGAAAGAAGGAAAATCGCAACACAAAACGAAAAGAAACTGAAAATAACAAACAAAATGCAACCGCGACTGCAAGTACAAACGCAAATGCAAATTCAAACAAAAACACAAATGAAGAAGGGAATGCATCTCAGGCACAAACAACTCCAACAACAAACAATAATAACAAACGTAACCGCGAACGACGAACACCGCGACCAAACAATCATCATCCGACAAATGGCAATGGCTCAAACAATCTGAATAGCAGCGATTCCAGTGGTAATGGACATACCCAAAAATCTCCTGCATCATCGAATGCCAATAACTCAAACGCTTCCACGCAAAATGATCAACTAGTTGATGGTGCAGAACCACAAAATAGCCAGGAGAGAAAACGTCGACCACGCAATAAACCAGGAAAATTGGAAAAAACAGGCACCGTTGATCCGGAAAAAGAGAAACGATTGCGAACGGTTCAACAAAAATTGCGCGACATTGCCAGATTGAAAGTTCGTCGTAATAACGGGGAAAATTTGGAAATGAATCAATTGTCGAAAATCGGTTTGGAAGCCGAGCTCATCAAAGAACTTAATTCTCTTAAAATCGACGGATAAACATTTGTATCAACGCTCAAAACACATTTCATATATACATTTTGCCTTATTTTGTTGTTTTGGATACACTAAAAAAAGATTCATAGCTTTGCTTAAATTTGATAAAAAGAGAAAAACCACATAGAAACTAGTTTGGGCCACTTCATTTTATATCGTTGCAGTGAAATTATACCATACATTTGTTACGTTCGATTACAAAATTATCAGAAATATGACACATTAAACAACACGAATAAAACAGCGAATTGACATCGTCAACAATAAACCAATAAAGAAAAACATCTGGATCAAAAGGAATAAAACACATGTGTTTCTTTTTTTCATAACAATACTAGAATGGCAGCATTCAAATAATTTATTTTTATTCCATAAAAATCGTATATTCTATTCCCATTTTGAACGTCGCTTTGTATACACTTCGGTACCATCCGATTGAACAGCCGCATAATATCCTTGACTTTCATATTTGGATCGCATGTAAGTGATATAACCTAAAGCACCTCCAAAACAAACGGCTCCAATGGCCATTATCACCAGATTCTAAACAAATAAAGTAAGATCATCATCATAGGTAATCGGAAGAAAAACTATACTCCCAACATGTAGATACTACTTACTGGTTTTGCATACAGCTCAAAATTAACCGCTCGAAATAATGTGGTACTTTTCATAGATCGAATTCCTTCTCCCGGCTGATATTTGGGTGGATTATCCGGTTGCTGTGGCACTTTGTCTGACATATTTGTTTGACCGGTTTTGAACGTGTCTATCTTTTATTTACCGAATACTGAATTATAAGTTACTGTTTTTCATGTGTATCATCTATCTCTATTATGTCATGTGTGAAAACTGACATTTGGGACAATACACAGTTTCTGAAAGAGTGTACACTGTACATAACCTTAAAATGTCAATAAATGACAGAACAGATACTCCATAAACACTCATTATAACAACGAGATCAAAATACTGAACATCAAAGCATTTTTTCGTCTAAATCGAAAACATCTTACAACACTCCCAATTGAAGGAGTTCAACACACGTAGTTGTTATTCAAGAAGAAAGAAAAGGTTAATTCAATTTGCGCTCACTCTTTCTTTTTGATCATCCATTAAAAGTTTAAATTCTCATAAAATACAAATTCGTGTCGATGTTGTTTTGTTAGTTATCGGAAAGTGTTTATTTTTAAAAAATACTAATTATCATTTTTATTGTTTTATTCTTATGCAGTTTCGTTATGAGTCATCCACAGAAAAAAACTAAATTGTCACTTCCGAGACATAACCAGAATCAGACTCGCAATGCAGATACGATGGCTGGTCCATCAAATGCAGAATCATCACCGGAAATATTCAAATTGAACATCGATTGCTTCGATGAAATATTTGAATATTTGAACGTGAAAGACTTGTATTCAATTGGTCAAACATGTAAGCGGATGAACAAAGTGGCCGGCGAATATTTCAAAGAAAATCATTCACTGGGTAGAATGTTATGCGAAAAAGATGGAATTTACACGATTTGTTGGCAGAATAATCACAAAAATCGTCCAAACGATAAACGCTTTCTTATATCTGGTTTCAATAAGTTCATGCCGTGCATTGCTAATAATGGGTACGGCCTAGGGGCAATTAAAAATGGCCTTTCTATTATTATTTAAAAATTGTTCTTGATTCTTTTTCGATTATTTTCGATTATTTTAAATTACATATTGTAGTTCTATTCTTTTATTTTGTGATTCTTCTCTTAGGTACGGCATAATTAAATATATTGAATCGCATGGCAGTGAATTTGAGTCAACCAAACATATAAGTCTTAATGGCTTACGCATGAATAACGAAAGAACTAAGCATTTTATACGATTGTTGCCTCAACTGGAAATTGTGCAACACCGAGATTGTTGGTTGACCGATAACCTTCACAAATTGATGGCGGAGCATTGTCAGAATTTGAAGGAGATTTATGTTCAAGATTCGGATGCCAGTACCTGCGACTGGCTATCACAAGAATATCCCAAACTTGAACGTTTGGAACTAATGCCGCGTAATTCTTGGGCATTTAACGAGCTACGTGAATTCTTCGTACGCAATCCCAAAGTGCAGAGATTCTCAACAAATTTAATTTGTCTGTGGGACAACGGTGATATATTTTTAAATTCCAATGCAAAATTGGATGTATTGGAAGTCAAAGGTTTTTACTCACCGTATTGCTCAAATAGGCAGCGGACGTCAAAAACACCATTGGAATTATTAAATCGACTCCATGAACAAGGCTTCTATAAGCGTCTATACATTTACATCGATAAAGCTGATAAAGAGTTAGGCACTTCATTTCTCTCACTCAAAGGTCTCGAATTATTGTGCATTTCGTGGCTTTTTGAGAGTTATAATTTGTGGTTACCTCAATTGATCAATCTGAGAGAATTAATCATTATGAATGCAATGTATGCCAGGGATATGGAGATTTTTGCAAATGGCCTGACAAAACTCGAACGTCTTTACATTGTTCAGGCTAGCATCGATCACATTATGCCATTCATTCGTCGTTCACCAAATTTGAACAAAATCAAATTCATACCTGGAAGCAGAGGTGTAGTTTTGAATTTGGCAATGTTGAATGCAGAACGCGCCATGTTGATCGGAGCTCGAAAAATAACCATTTATACGCGTGATGATGTCTTCTTGGCTACAAAATGGACGAGCAGAAACGGAGAAACAAATTTGAGCTTAATCGAAATGAGACGCGCGGATTCGATTGAATGGAATCCTCAATATTTTCCTAAGTAATGTTGTAATTTTTTATTCAATCAGATCAATATTGTATAATTGAACGCTCTAGAATAAAAACAACGTCTAGAGCGTTCAATTCATGATAATTTTTCAATTTACGAAATAAAATCTAAGTAAGTAAATTTTTAAATAAAATCCAACCATATAAGTTTTTGTGCGCCTTTTTCTCCTCCAAAATGTAATTTAAAGTACAATAAACTTTAGTGTTAAGTTTGATACAAATGTTAATTGATGGCCGGTTTGTGTACGAAAATAAATGTCTGAAAATGTATTTCATTGATTAGCAGAAATAAAGAATACATGAATTCATTGGAAAATGCATGTAATTTTCATTTTTACCGATAATTATTCACACTGTATGTGCCATCAGTTTCATACTTACAACGAGAAATTTGTGATACGAGTGGAAACGAAGAACGTAGAGAAAACGATGGAAAACGTCAGATTGGAATGAAACAAGCGTCAAAACAATATCTGTCTGTTGTCATTGCCGCCGTTTTTTCTTCTATCAAATACTATTTTTGAGATCCAATTAAAAGTTAATTCAATCACTCTTTCTTTTTGAGCATCCATTAAAAGTTTAAATTCTCATAAAATACAAATTCGTGTCGATGTTATTGTGTAAGTTATCGGAAAGTGTTTATTTTAAAAAAAATACTAATTATCATTTTTATCGTTTTATTCTTATGCAGTTTCGTTATGAGTCATCCACGAAAAAAAACGAAATTGTCACTTCCCAGAAATAACCAGAATCAAGCCCGCAATGCAGATACGATGGCTGGTCCATCAAATGTGGAATCATCACCGGAAATATTCAAATTGAACATCGATTGCTTCGATGAAATATTTGAATATTTGGACGTTAAGGACTTGTATTCAATCGGTCAAACATGCAAGCGGATGAACAAAGTGGCCGGCGAATATTTCAAAGAAAATCATTCATCGGGTGAAATTTTCTGCGAAAAAGATAAAATTTACATCTATTATCGGCACAACAATCGTTTATTTAAACGCACTCCAATATCTGGTTTCAATAAGTTCATGCCGTGCATTTCTAGTTATAAAGATCAGCACGTTATACTTAAATACATTCAATCGCATAGCAGTGAACTTGAGTCAACTAAACGCATTAGTCTTGAGGGCATACATATTGATAACGGAAGAATTGATCATATTAAACAGTTGTTGCCTCAACTGGAAATATTGCAATACCGTAATTGTTCGCATGGTGACTTTTGCTATTTGATGGATTGAAAGAATTTGAAGGAGTTTTATTTTCAAAATTCGGATGTCAGTACCTGCGACTGGCTATTACAAGAATATCCCAAGCTTGAACGTTTAGAATTGATCCCCCGTGTTTCTTCGGCATTTAAGGAGCTACGTGAGTTTTTCGTACGTAATCCAAATGTGCAGAGATTCTCAACAAATTTAATTTTTTTTTGGGACAACGGTGATATATTTTTAAATTCCAACGTAAATTTGAATGTATTGGAAGTCAAAGATTTTAACTCAACGTATTGGTCAAATAGGAAGCGGACATCGAAAACACCTTTAGAATTATTAAATGGACTACATGAACAAGGCTTCTATAAGCGTCTATACATTTACATCGATAAAGTTGATGAAAAGTTGGGCACTTCATTACTTTCACTCAAAGGTCTCGAATTATTGTGCATTTCGTGGTTTTTTGAGAGTTTTAATTTGTGGTTACCTCAATTGACCAATCTGAGAGAATTAATCATTATGAATGCAATTTATGCCAAGGATATGGAGATTTTTGCAAATGGCCTGACAAAACTCGAACGTCTTTACATTGTTCAGGCTAGCATCGATCACATTATGCCATTCATTCGTCGTTCACCAAATTTGAACAAAATCAAATTCATACCTGGAAGCAGAGGTGTAGTTTTGAATTTGGCAATGTTGAATGCAGAACGCGCCATGTTGATCGGAGCTCGAAAAATAACCATTTATACGCGTGATGATGTCTTCTTGGCTACAAAATGGACGACCAGAAACGGAGAAACAAATTTGAGCTTGATCGAAATGAGACGCGCGGATTCGATTGAATGGAATCCTCAATATTATCCTACATAGAATTTTTTTAAGAAATAAAAAAGTCCAGATACATTGATTCCATAAGAAATATAAGAGCATTCTGGTCTGACTAAATTTTGTGGATACAAAAAGAATTAATTTGAATTGTCTGAATAAAATCTATCATTTTAAATTGGAACATTTGAACTGTCGTCTTTTGAAATTATTTGATTATTGTAAGATAATAGAGATTCAAAGAGATTCATGGGGAAAATAAGTACTAAAATACTAAATATACTCAAAAGTATTTAAACGTATCAAAAACATATTCTCAATTTTGAATGGTAAATTAAGGATAATGTCTGAGATACAGTACTGCTCAAAAGTACTAGAACAAAAATAAAAAATACATTTTTTTCGATATATTACATCATTTATTAACAAAAACCTTCGTTTATTTGCTTTAATTTTTGTAATTATATAGCAACGTTAAACGTATAAAATTAATGCAAATAAACAAATGTTTGTTAATAAATGAAACAAATATATAAAAAAAAATTCTCTTTTATTTGTTTGTAAATCATCATTTATTTGTACCTCAAGACGAAAGGTAAGTAATATTTTTGTATTTTTTTCTCGATTTCTTTACATTTTTTTCAATGAAAAATCATCTAAAACCTCATCAATTGCACATCATTTCTAATAAGACCGTATTATTTCTACTCTAGAAAAGCAATGACGAAATGAATAAATAAGAAACCACATTTATTAGTGTCTAGATAAAAAACAATCGTCTGTGTTCATGAAAAGCAATAAAAATCGACTTCGTCAAGATGGAAATACCACTTCAAGAAGCTGTGCGCATTTTTCAACTCTACCCTAATGAATTGTGTTGAGTGGAAACATTTCCGAAATGTATCGATGATAATTCAAAACAATGTGGTGATATTTTGTCAAATGTTTGCCAGCCAGGTATCGATGAGGGTGGGGTTGGTTTGGTGGAAGTAACAAGATTTCGTCTTAATGAAGATTATCCATTGGATAGTGAAAATCATCGTTTAAAATACGACATGTTCTGCCCTATGGATGTTCACAAGAATTTATTTATCGCAATACCGTACAACCGATCATCATACGGACAAAGTTCCACAGGAAAACGTATTGCATGTATGGAACTGGTTTTTTACAGCTATCGAAACGACCGAGTGGGTGCCGTTTTTCAGTGAATATTGCATGGATTGAAGTAAATGAAATTCACGATATTTTGGGTGGCCGAATTATTCAATGCAATAATCTGAATGATACATTTCATCTAGGGGGATATTGCGTGTATATAGTCGCAATTTATTGACAAATATTTGCGACACATTGGTTTATATTCGTATACGAATATGAAACCACTTTTTTCAAATATGCCACCAATATATTATACAAAATACTCTTGTAAATACTAGAGTACAAGTACTTGCTAGAGTACATATTGTAAAAATATATATTATTGAAAATAAAAATAAAAAATAAAAAAATAAAATAAAAGATTTTTTTAATTATACAAATCAAGAAAAAACCATTTTTTCGGTTTTTTATTAAAACATTTTCTTTTCAATAATATTTTTACAATGAGTCGTTTAAGTAACTAGAGTAATACTCTAATATGTTAGCTAGAGTATTTTGTTAAGTATATTGGAATATATTGGTGGCATATTCGTATATATTTGTTTATATTCTTTTGCGAAGTTGTTTCGCAATCTCCCCCTAGCATTTCATTTGTTACGAATTGGTTTTGCAAATCAAAATACAGACCGAACGCACAATGGGTCAGTCCAGATGGTTTACTTCAGCATCGTCTATGGGCCAGCTTATGCGATTGATCGGGAACTCAACGAATTGTAAATGAATTTAACGAGGAAATTAGTGTGCCAAAAGATCCGGGACTGCGGATGTTCGAGAGAATTATGATTTCATTGTGTGATCCGACGATGCTGGAAAATAAACGAAATTTATTGACGAATCATTACGAAGAGACAATGCTAACGAGATTATTGAAGAATTCATTTGGTGGCCGAGCACAAACGCCACTTATTTGCTGTATATCCCCGTTGGAACAAGACACGTATGAAACCATTGAGAATTGACATTTTGGTTACAAAACTCAGTTTGTCAGGAATGCCGTAATATTGAATACATTTTCCGATAATAATATGCCAATATCGAATTTCATTGATCCATCTGCCATGATTGATCCACGTTTGATTAAATTTCCACCATACAATCCAGCCGATGCTATGAACAAAGTGAATCCACACAAAATGTATCGGGCACGTATCTGCGCTCCAAACAATAAGTTATAGACCGGTGCTAAGCATAAGCCCGAATCAAAAAGCTGCCTTTTGCAGTGGTGAATCCAACGATGGAGGCAATGATGAAGTATGTATTAACTATTGTGCCAGTGACAGTAATTCGGTTGTTAACCATGAATATTATTTATGCGATCTTAGAAACCAAAATTGGATCTACGAAGACGAAATCTCCAGCCATATCTAAAGATCTATAAATACATTTATTCAAATTAGGTTAATTTTCAAATTGAGAAGTATAAAAAAAGTGTTTACCTTCAATGCTTGGTACAGCAAATCATGGCAATGAAACATTCGCATTACCACTGTTCCAAAATCATATGCATATGATTTGCATGTGTTAGAGAAAGAAGAATGTATAGAAAAATTTTCCAAAAACATTTTTTCGACACATTGTTTTTTCTCTAACACATGCAAATAGTACTTCATAAACCTGGCCAATTTTACCTCTTTCGTTTCCATTTCCACTGTCGTTGAATCAAACGGTAATTGCATCGATCGTTGTATATGAACTTTGTTCACGAAAAAATTCTTAGGAATTGACGATTATGATGATTATATAAAAATTATAAAAATTGTTTGTGTATTTGATTGCAAGCGTCACTGAAAATTTATATCAGATCATTTTCAGTTTTGATGTGCAGTATTGCGTCACAGTGAAACCTTCCAAAGAAGTGTTTTTTACTTATTATATATACATGAATAAACTGTATAAAATTTAAAAAAAATGTGCTTTCCTTTCTCAAACTCAATCATTTTTTTCAGTACTTACGAATTCAGAGAGAGAGAGAAAGATAGAGAAATGTAAATGTAAATAAAGGTAAAAAGGATGAAAACTTTAACATTTCTTCTCTTAATTTGTTATTTTTTTTTATTTCAAACTTTACAAAGACAATATTTTCGTATGGGATTCCTTTGCAATTTTAATCAATAACTGTTATATTAAATCAATGGAATTTTTATTCCTTTTGCTAACGATAAATTTTGCTTTTCTTTTCCATTGCAAATATTTCCACACCGAATTGGCTAGAATCCCATATTGTTTTAAACTAAAAAAATAGAGACGATTATTTCACATATTAAGATAATTTTGTTTTGTTCATTTTCAGAACAGTAATGCTATTATTTTGTTTCATTTGTGACTTCTGGCAATAAATGCTTTTTTTCATTTGTTAAGAGATTTTATTTAAATTGGCCAACAATCAAATGATTTGTATTTTATTTGAAATATGAAAAGTTTTTGTTTTATTCTGAGAATCAAAGATATTTGTTAGAAATAAATTCAGAAGAGACGATCAACTGCTCCACTGAAATACATAATATGAATAGTTATGAATATGCTGTATCTTATATGGATATTGATAATTGATACGGCCTAGACAGCGATCGGTTCAACGAATCCGCAGCATTTGACTGGATCGAATAGGAATACATTCAAATGTGGTGGTTCTTTTTGTGAAACAGCCTTGATCACTTCTTGTGACAGTTCGCCGCCAACGATAGCTGCCACCGGTGAGACTTGTGCGAAAACATGGACGAAAGCTGAGTCTGGGACCAAGCCTTTGGCGATTTCATCGCGAATGGCGAACAATTTTTGCAAGTCATCATTTCGAGTTGCTGGATTTGGATCACGCTTTTCAGTATCACGGAAACGTTGCAAAATCTTTGTGGTGACGTATGCAGGACCAGTTCGTTTCAATTTTCGTGTGAAAAATGGTGCATTGAAATCAAAATCGAACACATCTTGTAGTGGTGGGAATGCCAATGTTCGTTTGATGTTCGATTTGACGGTTTCACGTTTTTGCTTTTGATTTTCTTCCGACAAAACCTTGTATTTCGTGATTTCTCTGCAAAAACAACCAATTTGATTAGTAAAAGTTGCAAAATGTTTCCATTACAAAAATGTATACTTACTCAGCAAATTCATGCTCTTGCAAATCGGTGAAAGAGTATCCATTCATGCCCCAAACGTCACCGCAGAAAAATTTGATGCCTTGCAAACGGCAAATGTTGTCAACACGAACCAAAATTGATGACGGTACTTCAATCAGAATGACAACGTCGAAACGATGGAAATATTCATCGGGCTTTTCGCACACATTTTCCTTATCTACGACGATTTCAACCATCGGATTTAATGCTTGAGCACGGAATAGTGACGCTTCGGCACGATTCTGTCCAATGCTGTCGTGCGAAACCAAAAACTGCGAACAAAAATCACTTTGGCTCACCAATTTGTCGTCCAACAATGCCACTGACTTGACACCAGACAAAATGATATTTTTCGCAACTTCAGCACCCAAACCATTCAAACCGCAAATCAGTATACGTGCGGCACGAATACGTTTTTGTGAATCCAAACCCCAAAGACGAATTTGACGATCGTACAATTCAGCTTCGTCTTCCGTCAATTCAATTCCATTATTTTCGACCATTTTTGCTATTTCGAAATATCGGTAATTTCTTTGCGGGAACACTTGCGATATACTTTTGTACAATGATATTGTGAACAATGATGAAATTGAAGAACGCCGACTAACACACAAACACTATAGCAATCGCCATTTTTCACATTGTCACAAACATTTGACGTTTATACTTTTGACAGGCAATTGTGACAACGCTAGAGAACGTTTTGAAATGCATTTTGTTTACGGCTTTCAAAATAATGCGGTGACCATAACAATCGAACCAACAAACAAAAATTAATAATGTCAATATAAAAATTCCATTCAATAATCACAATTTAAACGAAAAAATTAATTAGTGACGGAATTAAGTATGTCGCATACACAACAGAAAGATGAAAAATCAACCGAAAAAGAAGTGGCGTCCGAAAAACTAAACAATGATTCGATCAACCAATATCAAATTCGTCCCAGCATTGGAAATTCATTTCCAATAGCAAGCATTCGAGAAATTATCAATGAAATTCTACTTCAAACACTCGATGGTGAGTTATACCTTTTTGTCTTTTGCATCTTCGTAATGCAAATCATAATGTGTACTATTTTGATTTGATTTGGATTTTTCACAGGAAAGGAATACACATGCAGTGAGGTTGGTGCTTGGTGTCGTCAAATTGTTGATGGCATTAATATGCGAATTAAGAGTCTAGAGATTCCTCGTTATAAACATATTGTCCAAACAATGTTGGCAGAACAGACTGGAGCTGGCAGCCGTTATATAGCACGATGTCACTGGGACGCCAGTTGTGATAGCAAAGTATCAGAACAATACAAATCTGAAACTATAATTTGCATAGTTACCGTGTTCGGCGTATACCAATATTAAAAGGGGGAGAAAGAAGAAAGACCACATGTAATGCTTATGTTGTGTTGATTATTATGGGGCATTTAATTGTCATTTTTTAATGTTTTAATATATAAATATGTAATTGATAGTCAAAACATTGATCAAATAATAAATAATAAACAAATGTATACATTATATTGGCACTTTGAATGGTTGACTTTGAACTGCGATCGATTTGCCTTGTTTTTTGTTGTCTGGTAGCGTTGAAAACACAAACTAAAATGCAAAAAAGGAAAATTTTTGTAAATCTTATCAATGAATATTATTTAACATCCGCACTTACACGTGGCGATTTTTGTTTTGTACTCATGTGTCCAATGCAAAATGACTGTGTTGTGTGGCTCCATAAAAGTTCACCATCGCCCGAATCGGAGTCATACACAAGTGTTAAGGCACCACCATAAATTTCATCCAAATGTTTTAAAAATGGTGACTCAAGGAAGTCATTCTTGAATGTATTGTACAATGATTGAATTGAGAATTGGTCATTTTTCAAATTCGATACAATTTCACGGGCTAGCAATGTTCGCATCAGATATTCGCCATTACCGGTGGTGCATGTGGCATACGATTTGTTTTTGTCTTTCGATGCCCAACATCCAGCACCGTAACATGCGGCTTGACCAATACGGCCCGATAGTTTTAAAATCAATCCACCCGAACTGCAACCAGCCGCACAATTGCCAAATGCATCAACAACAACAGCGCCCACCGTATCTAATGGCGTTACTTTAACGTTAAACGTATTTTCATATTGTTCGATATTTCGCTGGTAATGCTCATATGTTTTGCGTGCTTTGTTCGAAACCATATCCTCTTCATTTACAATTGGTAAATTTACGTCTTTGGCATAGTTAACAGCGCCTTCGCCACTTAAAATCATCGGCGGTATTCGATCCATTGAGAGTAATTTCGATTGCCGTTCACACAATATTCGTGCCAATCGAATTGGATTTTTGACTTTCGAGAGATTCGTACATGCGCCAAAATGTCGTGTTGTCCCATCCATTATTGATGCTTCGCATTCAATTCGTCCGTCCCATGTTAGATTTGAACCGTAGCCTGCATTAGTATATCCACAATTTTCTAATGCTACTATTGCTGCTTCACACGCACCCAGTGCTGTTTCGCCTGATTTTAGTACAGATATTGCAACCTCACATGATTCCTTGCAAATTTTTTTATATTTGGTTTCATTTACACAATTTCCGGCCCCTAAAAATGTCATACCATTTTTTTTATATTTGATAATTCAAATCAGCAATATAGATGATATGATTTGCGCCAAAAATTCACTTACCCGTATGAACAGCTACAAAGCCAGCCATAATACATTCCTTAGATGGTTGAGATCAAATTTAATGCTTTGCAAGCGAATCTAGGAATGCAATATTGTTTTGCTTGTATTTTCGGTCGTTTTCGATGGTGCGAGCAGCAAAGTTTATTTTGAGTTAAAATTAAATGTTTGACAGACAAACATGATAAACAATGGTATTTTTATATTCACACACATACAGAGCATGGAATACATGCAGATGTATGAACATGGTGAATTGAACGAACCCATTCAAAATAAGAGTGAGTGAGAAATAATGGGATAAATCGTTACCGTTTTGCGCATTTGTGACAAACACATCACGGAAAAAAAAGTTTGGTTATTTTCGACTGAAGTAGTATACAGAAATAGCACTATTATATTGGCATTCGCGACTTTTCGTCATTATAATAATCATTTTTCCGCTTTTGTTCCGAATTGCTTTTTCCATTAAATTTCCAAAAGTCGGATTAAATTTGTTTGGATAAATAAAAAGAAAGCCATAGATTTGGTCGAAAAACGTGCAACAGTGAAAGTGTGAACATTTTCAGAGAATAAAAACAATTAAATTATAATGGATAAAGTTAGTTCTGTCGCTATTTTAGATGCTGGAGCACAGTATGGAAAGGTAAATTCATTGTGTACAATGTAATTTTTTTTTTACACATTTTCGGATATGGGTCGAATATTATTTAACTATTCGATGAATATGTATGAAATCACAGGTGATCGACAGACGTGTTCGAGAGCTAAATGTTTTATCGGAAATATTACCGCTTGACATAGAAGCATCAAAACTGCGTGATTATAAATCAATCATTATATCGGGCGGACCAAACAGTGTTTATGACGATAGTGCACCGCAGTATGATGCTGACATTTTCAAATTGGGCATACCAATACTTGGTTTGTATTATTCATAATATTTGATTTGATGGAGTGATTCAATTATATGGGAGAAAATAGTGACTTGTCATAATCGTGCATGCATACTAAGATACAAATGTCTTAATTGAAATTTTCTTTTGTGTCATTGTTTTCATATAGGGATATGCTATGGTATGCAAGTCATTGCAAAAGAATTTGGCGGTGAAATTGAAAGAAAAGATGTACGTGAAGATGGACCGACAGAAGTTAAAGTTGACACAAAATGCCCACTATTCGAGTAAGTAAAATATATGCTTAGATTTTTAAGTTACAACAACAACAAAAACAAGCGAAAAACGTGTTCAGAGGCTAAAGAAGGGGTTCAATAAAAAGTAACGTATTGTCGACCCTGATACAAACCTCTCAGATTAATGTATTATACAAATGCTCGAGAACAACTTGATATTCGCCAAAGTTTTTTAAAATATCAAGCTACATCGTAGGCATTACACATGTTGATCATTCTTATGATTCTTCTTATCACCGTTTACTATGACCTCCAGCATGGACAAACTATCTATCATGAGATTAAATGACATACACAGAGCTATAGCATATTTGTTTTGTATTTCATTCAATTTTTATTTTATTATTTTTTTTTTAAACAACAGCCATTTAGACGAACAACAACAAGTTTTGCTAACACATGGCGATAGCATTACCAAATCCGGCGATCGTTTAAAGATTGCCGCAATGTCTGAAAGCGATGTAATCGCCTCTATTTGGAATGAGGAATTTCGTGTGTTTGGTGTTCAATTTCATCCAGAGGTATGTATGCCATACACATCTTATGTATGAATGACTCGAATTGCGTCCATGTTTATATGCCACCCCTGTCCATTGTTATAGGTGGATATAACTACAAATGGCCAACAAATGTTGCACAATTTTCTGATGAAAATTTGTGGATTGGTACCAAGCTACACAATGGAATGCCGTAAAGAGAGCTGTATCAAATACATTCGTGACATCGTTGGATCGAGCAAAGTCTTAGTTTTGGTCAGTGGTGGTGTTGATTCAACTGTATGTGCCGCTTTGCTTACACGCGCACTGAATCCAAATCAAATTCATGCTGTTCACATTGATAACGGTAAATTAACAAAAAGAAAACATCCAAATTAATTCGAACATTTGATTAACATAATTCCCTGATGGGAAATCGAAAAAAAATTATTCAACAGGATTTCTGCGAAAGGACGAAAGCAAAGAAGTTGAAGAGTCCCTCAATCGACTGGGATTGGAGATTATTGTGAAAACTAGTTTCTACAAGTTTTTTAAAGCAACAACAACCGTAAGAAAAGCCAATACAACGTACAATACGGAAACGCCAATGCTTTGCTTTGCAATAAATCCGGAAGAAAAGCGTAAAATTATCGGCGATACATTTTTGAAAATTGCAAATGAAACGATGCGAGAATTGAATTTGGACCCAAAAGATGTATACCTGGCACAAGGCACATTGAGACCCGATCTTATTGAATCAGCATCTGAATTGGTTAGCAAAAATGCTGATACCATTAAAACGCATCACAATGATACGGAGCTGGTTCGTCAACTTCGTGCGGCCGGTCGAGTTGTTGAACCATTAAAGGATTTCCATAAAGATGAAGTGCGCAGACTTGGCCGTGATTTGGGTTTGCCAGACGCTTTAGTTGATCGTCATCCGTTCCCCGGTCCTGGTTTGGCTATACGAATTCTGTGCGCATCCGAACCATATTTGGAAAAAGATTTCGCCGAAACTCAGGTAAATCAACTCAATCACACCATCGAAATGTGTCATATTTTATTCATTTGTCATACGTTTAGGTAATTGCACGTGTGATTGCCGAATACTATTCCAAGTCACAAAAAAATCATGCTCTACTCAATCGTGTTACGAATGCAACCACAAAAAATGAACAAGTGGCATTAGAAGAGATTTCAAAGAAAATGAAAATCAATGCCACTTTACTGCCAATTCGAAGTGTTGGTGTACAGGGTATGCATCAGTTTTGTATGGTACACAAAGAAATCAATCTGAGACCTATTCTTATGCAATTGGTCCTTTTTTTTCTTTCATTCATGCAGGTGACTGCAGATCTTACAGTTATGTTCTTGGTTTATCCACGGAAGAGACACCAGATTGGAAGGATATGCTATTTTTGGCCAAACTTATCCCTAAAATTTTACATAATATCAATCGTGTTTGCTACATTTTCGGTGGTCCAGTTCAATTCCCGATCAGCGATATTACTGAAACGAAAATTAGCCAATATAGTTTGGCTCAATTGCGACAAGCCGATCATTTAGCAAATACGGTAAGTTTGTTTTTGATTTACCCATTGCGATGAGATTCATCTCATTTTCAATAAAAAAAAACATTTCGTATATTCTGACACAGATTTTGCATACGAGCGGTTGCATGTCAAAAATTTCACAAATGCCTGTGGTGTTGATACCGATCCACTTTGATCGAGATCCAGTAAATCGAATCCCATCGAGCTCTCGGTCCATTGTCCTACGGCCATTCGATACCAACGATTTCATGACCGGTGTACCAGTTGTTCCTGGCTCAGAGAAATTACCGCAACCGGTATGTATACACAAGTCATCGAATGTCATTCATAATAAATAAAGCTGAAGCAAATAAACTAATTTTTCGGTTTTCATTTTAGGTCATAGATAAAATGGTGCGAGCGATTGGTGGAATTGATGGTATTACACGTGTTCTGTACGATTTGACCTCAAAACCGCCCGGTACAACCGAATGGGAATAAAGAATATGAATTTCAAACATTTTTTTTGTTATTTAATATATGGAAACGAAGATGCATTTTCACGTGAAAATAAGTTGACTTTTGATTGTATTAAGTGTATACACAGTTGCAAAAAAAAAAATTTGGCCATTGAGTGAATAGAGTGAAATGACATTAAACAGTCACAGCTAATTGTTAATGTTGAACACAAAGAATCGATGATAACGATAGAAAAAAACTTATCACTTTATTGTAAGAAAATGAAGAGGAAAGAGAGAGAGAGAGAGAGAGAGAGAGAGAGAGAGAGAGAGAAACCAACAGCTTTTGTCGAATCATTTTTCTCAATTATCTGATGCTAATAAACATTATTTTAATACCAAGCCATGTGTACTTCCATCAAAGCACTCTTTATGCTACAAATAATTTAAACACGTGTGTTTTGAGGTTTTATTTCGAATTATTTTCGTTTATTGGGTTGATTCAATAGAAACAATCAATGGGAATTTGACGAAGGTCTGAATTCTGCCTTTTTCCTCCTTTCGGAATCATTCTTTCATCGTCTTTCAGTTGTCCTTAAAATTTACCTAAAATTGAATATATATGCAAAACAGCATTAGCACCGATACGATAACATGGAAACAATATTAATCTCTCTACAGCCATACTTACTTATTCACATAGTTTAACACCTAGTTTACGATTGATGAAGCCAACTTATTTTTCCAATGGTGCATAATTCAACAATTTTTCAATCAAATCCACATGACCCAACAGCATTCGCCGACAACAGTATCGTTTCAATCCAAGTGCGTCAAGAGCATCACCTTCTGTGTATTCGGCTTGCAGCAAACCCAAATATGCTTCCCATTTGTTGCCAATCACTTTTCCGCAGGTAAAACAACGAACTGGAATAATCATCTTTGTGCGTCTTATAAATTTGTTCAACTGAATTTTATTGTTGGATGGGAAAAAGTTAAAAATGTTGTTGTGAAATCGATTTGACTACCGCTAGCAATGGAAATGCGTTTTATACATCTGTCAAACGTGCGTCTCCACAATATAACAATATACATGCTGCCATTGTGGTATGGTTCTGTTCTTGTATCAAATGGAATTATATTGCCCGATGCGATATTCTTTTCGAAATTTGGTTCTATTCAAAAAATTATAATTTGTGTGTTTCAAATTTTTCTTCATAATTTCCTGTTTATTTCCGTATTCAACTAAAAATATGAACAAACCAAAATATTTGGATAGCAAAACCTTGCACAATCTTCCGGGAAAAAAATGTGTGTTATTCGTTGAATAGACTGATATGTTTTCATTCGACGTTGCAAATACCATAAACAAAGTCAAAACAAATGTATTTTTCTTTGATATAGGAAATCGTTTGAAAATCATTTAAATACCGCTGGTCGGACGCAGTTTTTATTCAGTTTGCTTTCATCGTCGTACACGTCAGTTTCATTGAAGCGATCATTATGAAGTGCATCGTGATTTTGATTCAAGTATGCTGCTTGTTTGGTCTTGGCCTTGCAGCGACGCCCACAGTTAAAGAAGCCATGGATGCCGAGTGGAATAAATTGAAAGCATTTTTGCCATCGATGGACACGCTGAAGTTGACTCCGGTGGTAAATCAAACCGCCTGCAATTGTGGCGTTTTCCTCAGTGGTCAATTTAAGAAAGGCTCATCCGATCCACCAGTAGGAGTACCAACATTGATGCATGAACAAGATGCGATGGTCCCATGCACGCTAATGGGGCACAAACAGTGCTCCAACAAATGTTTGGAAACGGTAAGTGTGATTTTTTTATGTTTGTTTATTTAATTTCCACACAGCGCATAAAAACAATCGAAATAATTTGTAAACAGTGTAGTAATGTTCGGTGTATTGTCTACTTTCAGATTGCAAAACATTTACCAAACTCGCCGGTTATCCTGTGCGGAAGCATTGATCGTGATGTGTATAGAGAACGTGCCTACCTCTTTGTTCAAAATTGCAATGGAACATGGGTCAATACGAACTTCTCAGCCGGCCGAGAATTTTGCTGCAAAGACGGATCTCCATATAAATGCCCCAACAATTTGATTTGAATGAAGTTGTGATTTACGGCATACCGAAATAAAAGCCAATTTTTTTTTCAAATTTAGCATGAAAAAAAATTCTTTTTTTTCGTCTTCCTCCAACTAATTCCGTTTTGTTCACCTTTGCTGTTGTTTATTGTTTTTATCTTTTTCGTTTTTTTTTTTAAATTTCGAAATAAAACCATCTTTCGAATGTAGCGCAAACATCACTCTGTTGTTTTTGTGTAGATTGTCAATATCTTATGACATTCAACATAACCTCTTTCAATCTTTTTGTTTTGGAAATGAGAAGTTAGCTCGAACTTACGAGATCAAAAGGTTTCCGCTGTTTTAGAAATATGCAGGGTCTGCAACGAATTGTGTTTCAAAACACAAAATGCTTAAGTGATCTGCGACACTATTGTTACAAGCCGATCAAAAGACCGACATTGAATAGGCCGGATAAAAGTGAGTTTGTAACCAAGGCTAGCATCGAAAAGAACGTTTCACTTTCAAAAGTGTTGAAGACGCGTATTTCAGCGGCCGGCCCCATTTCCGTGGCTGAATATATGAAGCATGTATTGACAAATCCAAACAGTGGATACTATATGCTAAAAGATGTATTTGGTGAAAAAGGAGATTTCATAACATCACCCGAAATCAGTCAAATATTTGCTGAGGTAAGACCAATCGAATTTGAAATTATTTCAAATGAAAATATTCCGTTTGGGTAAAAAGACTTTTTCTTAGCTTGTAGCAATTTGGTGTTTGTCAGAGTGGCAAAAGTGTGGATCACCAGGTCCTTTGCAAATTGGTGAGTAGAATCAAGTATTTTGTCTTGTTCAGATCTAACGTTATCGCTCTGTTTTAAAATTTTTTAGTTGAACTTGGGCCGGGTCGAGGAACATTATCACAAGACATACTCCGAGTGTTTGCTAAATTTGGCCTATCAAATCAGTTTTCATTGCATCTCGTTGAAATTAGCCCGTACTTGAGTGAATTACAAGCGAAACGTCTTTGTTGCCAAAGTGCTGAGACAAAAAAAGAAGACCTCGATTCTGTGCCGTATTATCGCAAAGGTGAATCGGTGTCCGGAATTAAAATCTATTGGTATCGTGAACTTGAACAAGTTCCAAAGTCGTTTTCTATTTATTTGGCACATGAGTTCTTCGATGCGCTTCCTGTGCATCAGTTTCAACGAAATGACGACAAATGGCGCGAAATTTTGGTAGACGTTGATAAAACAAAGGAGAACAGTTTTCAATTTGTATCGTCGAATGTGGTGACGCCGATGTTGAGTGTGTTTTTAAGTCGTCCGTGGATTGATAAAAACTCTCTTCCACGACATGTCGAATATTCAGCGGACACTGAGAGAACTGTTGACATTATGGCCGGTCGCATTGAAGAATGTGGAGGAATTGGCTTGATCATTGACTATGGCCATTCCGGTGAAAAGGGTGATACATTCAGAGTGAGTAAGCGCTTTTCGATTACACTTAGATGGTTATCACATTATAATAACAACTGAACTCTTTTCTGTGTTAGGCCTTCAAGAATCACAAATTGCATGATCCCCTATTGGAGCCAGGCTCTGCTGATTTAACGGCTGACGTGAATTTTGCCCACATCAAATCGGTTGCGGAACAAAATGAACGCGTCATAACATTCGGTCCAATTGAGCAGAGCGACTTTCTCCATCGAATGGGAGGTGAGGCGCGACTTGCAACTCTTATGGAGAAAGCGGCATCACCAGAAGATGCGGATTCGCTCAAGTCTGGCTACAACATGTTAACTGAACCCACAAAAATGGGTTCACGGTTTAAATTCTTTGCTATGTTTCCGAAAGTCTTGGAAAATCATTTGAGTAAATTTCCAGCTAACGGATTTTTTGATACGAATCTGAAAATTAACTGAAATGTCTAGTCGTTAATCTGTTGTAATAAGTTTATTGTTTAAAAATCGAAAGTTTGATAAAATAAATGAATTTGAAAAGTTGCGAAGATTGTTTTGACAAATAGTACGGTGTGTCAAAGACAGACAGTGCACTTTTTTCGAATTCGAAATTACGATTGGCGCTGCAGTCGCTAAGGTATTTGTTTTTATTTTTTTCCATAATGCGTAGATCCATCGAGAACAACGACACAAATCAAAGAAGAAGAAGAAGGCACAAGACAAGAAGTCATACTCCTTTGAAATTCACTAAGAACATTCGTTTTCATCGCATATTTGTTAAATTGAATTTTAAGCAAGCATAATGTAAGTACGCACGACTATTTTTACGCTACAAATCCAAATAATTTTAGAAACTGTAATGAATTTTGTTGTCTGTCAAAAAACAACACACCCAAAACATGCCGGTCATTTATATCATTTATCCATAGTGAAAAGAATACTAATGGTCAGCATTTTTTATTTGCATTAATTTTTTGTTCACAACAGCCATTATACGCCAACATGTCTTGCCCGATTGGTGCTGATGAAATAAATAAGCTGAAGTTTTTCGTTGATTTTTGCTCAACGAATCCAAAACTTCTGAATTTGCCACAGTTGAGCTTCTTCAAAACGTTCATTGAAAGTCTTGGTGGAACCGTGCCGGTAGGTGAGCCCACTGATTTTGGTTTCCCAAGTGGTGACAATGAAAAGTAAGTACAATTCAATATAACACATTTGACACAAGCACATCACTCGAATGACAATTTCAATAAATGTTTGTCGTACATTTAGACCACGTGAAGAGCCAAAAGTTGAGCCAGAGCCAGTGGTAGAAAGTGATCCGGAATCAGATGTTGACATTGACACCGATGGATGTGTTGACCCAGATAACGATCCTCCCCAACCAATGGGTGATGGCTCAAAAGAGCCAACAGACGAAGAACGTGACCAAGCCAGTGAAAAACGTGGTGAGGCTGCGGCTTATTTCAGCGATCAACGATATGAAGACGCTGTTAGCAGCTACGAAAAGGCAATTCAATTGAATCCAACAAATGCCTTATTCTACGCAAAACGTGGTCAATGCTATCTCAAGTTGAAGAAGCCAAATGCATGCATTCGTGATTGTACCCGAGCATTGGAATTGAATTGTGATTCGGCAGCAGCGTACAAATTTCGTGGTCGGGCATATCGTTTGCTTGGCGACTGGGAAGCGTCGGCCAAGGACTTGCGTCAAGCTTGTAAAATTGATTTCGACGAAGAAGCAGACGAATGGTTGCGTGAAGTTCAGCCAAAGGCACACAAACTAGAGGCTCACAAAATTAAACAAGAACGTAAAAAAGCTGAAAAAGCCGATCGTGATCGTTTGGAACGCATCAAACGTGCACAAGACGCAAATAAAAAGGCCGCCGAAGAGCAAAAACGTCAAGAACAAAGCACCGGCGCCAATCATGGCGACGGTGAGGAATTTGATCAGGCTGATTTATTGAATGCATTCAAAGATCCAGAAGTAGCTGCTGCTTTCCAAGACAGTAAGTAGTATGAACATTTCGTTGTGTATGATCGAATTGATTTTTATTTTCACATTTTTCTGGAACATTTACAGTCATGACCAATCCGGCAAACGTAGTCAAATATCAATCGAATCCGAAAATCATGAAAATCATTTCAAAAGTTGGTTCGGCAATGGGAAATAAAATGCCAAACGCTTCAGCAGCTGGTGGTGGTTTTCCTGGCGGCTTTCCAGGTGGATTCCCAGGCGGATTCCCACCAAACTTTGGAGCACCAGGTGGATTTCCTAATTTCAACACACCACCACCACCGCCACCATCATCGAATCCAAAAAAACCTGATCTTCACGATGATGGCCTAGACTGAAGAAGCGCTTAAATATGCACACGCAGCATTTACGAACACGATTGGTTCAATTAAATTAACGCAAATACTTATCATTTTTTTCTCTTTTCTTTAACACATTCTTTAATAAACAACAAAAAAATACCATTGAGAATGGTCCGAACATTTAGTTCGTAGAATTCGCAAAACCAAACATTTTGTTCGGTTGATTTCGTATATCGACGAATTTAATTCAAGTCAAATAAATATGGAAAATATTTGGTTTTTGATTATAATATATAGTGATATGTGTTTTATTTTTCTGACATGATATTCTGATATTTTTGGCTGTTCAAATCTATTGATGTTCAATTTTTTGGTTGTTATCATTTCGACATTTGTCATTACATCTGAAATTAGTTCAGAGAAGGAACACGAATCATAAAAGAGACTGAAAATTGTCGTCATTAAAAATTAGCTGACACATACAATCGTTTGAAATATGACACCATCAATTCCATAGGGTGTACTAATGATGGTTGACACTGTCTGGTACCGATCAAAGTGTGCAAAGATGAACTATTATTACTCGAATCGAGATAAATTGATAATTAATGTTGAACGGTTAACCGTAAGTACAAAATCATGCAAAAAATCGACGAATATGAGAAGGAAAAAGGAGTAATTGACTTCCCTTAGGACCAATGAGTATTTTCTTCGAGGCACTTGCCAAAACTGTGATGAGTATTTTTTTCTAATTTCCAATGCAATCCTTTTTTGGCTAAATGTTGACAAAATCGTTGATTAATTAGTTGGTGTTTTCTTTTGGTATGTTTTATTTGTATCATGCGTGTTTTTTAGAGATATGCGTGCGATCTATGTGCGTAAATGATGGTAAATATCTGACCGAGTGACAGTTGAGATACCAAACTAAATAATAATTCTGAAAATTGATTTGTTTTTTATCATAACGATGCGGCGATTATAGCTCATGTTTTTTTTTGTTAACGGATTATATTTTCATTTGACAAACGTATGCCTGATATTCTATACGCTTGATGACGTCCCAAAATGCTTTATCTTAAATTGGATTCACTCACAAATTGAATATGATAGATGAGAAAAAAAACTGACATCGACACATTGCATATAAGCAGAAAGTTAAAAAAAATGATAAAACCGTAAAATAACAAATACCAATGGACTTGTTTTTTTTTAAATTGATTATTATTTCAGTGGATATAGCCATATGCCTTGAATGAGTACGTGTAGAATATTCATTTGTAGTTTATTCATTGAGAGTGCAACTGGTTCATAAATTGGCATAAATAATGGAAGAATTCAACGTGTTTGGTGATGATTTTTTGTCGAACGGTGAATTTCATCAATTGTACTCAACTGATCTTCAAGATGATATTTTTTTGTGGGACAATCGAATCGATTTTGATGTTCAGTCAAAGTGGAATTGTGCAAATGATATGGACAGTGAAATCAAAAGAGTCAATTACTCAGCCTATGATCCGTGTCAAGTTACTTCATTCAACAATTATTGTTACAATGATTTGAATACTATTCCAGATGGATTTAGTTCAAGCAATCAGTATTCGTGCAATGAAACAGATCAAGGATCAATTACAGAAAAGTATATCACCGATATGGATGAATGGAAGCAGGGCCATTTGGATGATTTGATCTATAAATCAAATAACAACAATGATTGGGAATTGAATTTGGAGAATTTAATCAATGAACATCCGTATGATGATACAACCTTTAATGTGTGTGATTTGCCAGCAAGAACATTTTACTGCAATGATTCTTGTACGAATTTTCTGAAAGAGACCTCCGAACACTTGGACACGAGCCTACGGACATTTCAACCCCATTATGACGCTATCAATACTGCATCAAATCCAACGGCATCAAAGCATTTAAACTCTAACAATCACGATCGCAAAAAATATTCAAATGTTGGCGAAGAAAAAGAATTTATTTGCAACTATGGAGATTGTCGGAAAGTTTATGCAAAAGCTGGGCATCTTAAGGCACATATCAGGTAACTATTAGTATTTTGAATTGTTTTCATTTTGAAACGGGGATATTTTTTATTGATTTCATATTTTTACTTTTTTTTCTTTCATCGAAAAAAAATTAAATAGGCGCCATATAGGAGGTAATATATTTAATTCAAATAATTAATTTTTGTGCTATAGATTCTTAATTTGAGTTTATGATTTTTGTAAATGGATTTCATTTAGATAAACCTTATGTGTGCAGCTGGCCAAATTGTACATGGAAATTTTCCAGATCGGATGAACTATCACGGCATCGTCGTTCTCATAGCGGAATAAAGCCCTACCAATGCGATTTGTGTCCCAAGTGCTTTTCGAGGTCTGATCATTTAACAAAACATCGTAAGGTACACGAACGAAAAATGGCTGCGTTGAAAATTAAAGCTGTATGGACCAAATTACCACCAAGAAAACCCGGTCGCAAACCAAAATCACAAACATTGGCTCAGTACCCAACAAACCACATATAATGCAAAATATATACAATTTATGCACAAAAATGTAATGCTAAATGCAATAATTATGGTGAAAAAATGTACTTCTCTGTTCTTCTGAAAAAAAAAGAGGAAAAACAATAAAATTAGATTAATATGAATAAAATTGAGATCATTCATAATTATCAATGAAGAATGAACAGGTAAATTGTGAAGTGATATTTTGAAAAACCGAAAATTTGATTTTCTGCAAAATGTCGACCAAAAATTCTTTGAAATATTGTAAATTTGGATGCGTTTTTCTTTCAATCCGTTCACAAAAGGATTGATTTTATTCAATCAAAACAAGAAAACTCAATATGAATAATTTTGTATGCCTTTTAAAAGTTTCTATATCAGAAGAGGATATCATGGTAATATTATATATTGGTTTCCCGACGAAATGGAAACAACCAATCAAGGAGTTGAATATTGTTTTCTTTGATAAAGTAACATATGTATAGAAAGTTTTTAGACTAAATTCAGGCGTTTATTGCCTAACGGGACTCCTACTTTTTGCATTGCTTTTGAAATTACTTGCGGAATGAAACCAACGAGCCAATATTCAAAAATTGATTCATTCATTTTTTTCTTCATTCCATGTGCATTAGTAAATCTTACAAGCGTTTATTTTCAGTGGCCCTTAATTCCATTTAATCATACAAAATTGTGGTGTTTACAGACTTTGGTTGGATGCCAAAGTATTAAGTGCGAATAATTACAATATATTTAATATTCCACATTGTGTATATCGAACATAATCAATTCTCAAAATGAAATAATACAATTGCCTTGCCTACAATAATCAAAATAGTACGACGGTATAAACATTAAACATGAATCTGCTTAAAACTGAAAATATTCATCAAAGGTTCTACCGTATTTCCGTGAGTTTCAAGTGTCACGAAACATAATCGTTAGCACCGATGGATTTTTCGAATACACTCAGTGCTATAAATCACTTGATGATGCGCCATTCGAGTGTTTGTTTCTTCAAGATGTGTCGGAAAGAGGTTACGAAATGATAAACAAAGACGATTTGACTGTTCAACACGTTCTTTTGGTGATGAAAGAACTTGGAAAAATTCCACGCAGTTTCGTTTGCATTGAAAGATCAACAGCCCGATAAATTTCGGCACATTGTCAACGGACTGCGTGAGAATTATTTCAAAAATGGTTATAATCCAGACCTGGAACTATTTTGTAATAAT